CTAGACCTTTACATGTTATTTCTCCCTCTTCCTGGATCTTTACATATCCCGTTGTCCATAAACAGGTCCCCCTTTCCTGCCCTTATCCTGGGTGATGTATCATTTTGGGGGCAGCCCAACTTCTGCAACGTCATTCCCTCCAGCTAACACAGGGACACGCCGATCCGCAGGGCCGGTCCTTCCGTTGCACCTGCTGCTCCCAGGGGGCCACTGGGCCGCAGCAGGGTCCAAATAAAATCCGGCGGTACCCTTCTGCACTTGGTTTGGGCTGTGTTGGGTCGTGAAAAGATCTGAGAACCGGGAGATTTGCAAAGGTTCCCCTCCCCTCCCTATCTGTGCTCGAAAGCTTGGCTCCAGCCCTGAGTCTTCCAAGGGCCACCCCAGCTTGCTAAAGGGAGGGGTGGACAGGAGAAAGGGGGACAGCTGATTTCAGAAAGAAGTCAGGCAGAACGATTCGAGGGGATGACAGGAGGGGAAGCCCACGTGAGCCAAGGCCAGCTCGTTCAGGGGGATCCATGCCCCAGAGATCACGCTGGCCACTGGACCTTCATTTCAGCAGGGGCCCAAGACAGCAGACGGCCTCACGAAGGTTTGGGTCTGCAGATGTCACTCAGGGATGCTTGCACCGAGACCCCTAAGCGGGGGACCTTGTGCGGAGGCGTTGTGAGGTTGATGTGACTGCGTGATCTTTACCACAACCAGTCCATCGTCCTTCCCGTTCCAGATGTGAGCAGCAGAAAGGACAGAGGCGACAACGGCGGTCGAGAGCACACGGCAGGAGTCCACAGCCGTGGGGAGATTGAACCCAGGCCTTGCCGCTCGGTTCGAACCTCGCCAGCCCCCGTTGGCTTTACCTGCAACATGCCCTCCGCTTGTGCGTTTCTGCCGAGGCCGCCGGTGACACGCGCGGTGCCAGCTTCCCTCCCAGTAAACAGGACCCCCTAAAGAAGGGGGAGAGAGTTCTGGACTGAGTCAGGCCTGCCCCAGATAAAATCAAACCGCCAAGCTGACGTGCGGGAAGGAACGTGACCACAGCGTTACTGAGCCGGCACAGAAAGAATGAAACGCCATTCAAGAGTGGCTTCCCCCACCGCTTACTCATAAACCCTGAACAAAGATCAGCTGAACCGAGTGGCAGAGGCCTTCCTCCAGCTGTGTCACTCCCGGCCAGAAGCGGCACGTAAAAAGCTTAACGCTGCCCTGCTATATTTCTACAGGCATGGAGTCTGCGTTCCCTCCGCATCATCAGGAGATTCCCCTAAAATACGATGCTGATTTGCTAGGCGTCTGGCAAAACAGCAGAGGAGGAGTTCACTCAAGTTCCCTGAATTTCGTCCCGAAACTTGTTCCGACTCAAGTCTGTATTAGATCATAATTTTCTTTCTGCGGGAAAATCCGCTGGAATCTCCAGGCATATTTTTACAAACGTACACCTCAATTTTGTGCATTTTTGGAAGGAACATGTGCTTCTTTTGGTGATAAAAGCACATGTGTGCCTGTTTTCAGAAGCACAGATGTTCCTCGTGTGTTTCTCAAATACACACCTGCCCTCAGCACAGTTTCGGGTCCACAAAGCACCTTGCAAACTCGGAAATGTTTGGATTTCAACTGCAGACTGCATCGGAGTCTGATGGCAAAGTCAGCAAAATCCTGACCGAAAGGACCTGAAACTCATTCCTTGCGATCCTTTCGTCTCCTGTTGTGACAAGGCATGATTGTTGGGAAAAGTCATTTCTCCACGGGATTCTGGAGGACCTGAGCTCAGCCCAGCTTTTCTGTCCATCAAAAAGTCGAAGGTTTTTAAGACCAGTCTCACCCCCATCCCCACCTCCAATCTAAGCGTGTGTGCCACAAAACACAACACACAGCAAGAGACGACAACCTGCATTCACGGGGCTCTTTTCCGAAGCCTTCTGCATGTGATCTGCCCAAAGCAAAAAAAAGATTTATGCCTCGTGTGTGAGAACGCTGTAAATTGCAAGATGCGTTTGCAAAGATGTTCCAAGCCAGCAAAGGTGGAGCTAAGATGTTCCAAGCCGACTCCCAGGCAGAACTGCAAATGGGATGAGGAAGAAGGTTTAACGAGAGAGAAATCCCAAGGTTTTGTGACTGCGGACACGATGAAACACATTTCACTCAGCTCGAGCGTGCAAACATGAGCAAGCAATCTGATGGAAAACCTTGTGCATCTTTTCATGCGAGCCATGGTTGGGAAAATTCAGATAAATCCTGGTAGAAAAACGTGGCTTATATATGCCTTTCTGTTATAAAATCAAACCTGCACTCCATTCTCAGAAAGCAACCCAATTCGAAGCCAGGGGACTGTTTAGCATTGCTGCTCCTTAAGAAAATGGCACTCTTAGCTGGACTGAGCAGCCATCAAAGGCTAACACTCTCCATGAGGAAATACCTGTGTGCTCATCAGCTGCAGAAAAACCAAAACAAGGGTGTCCATTTGTTTCTGAATGGACCCACCTAAGCATCTCGTCTCTGGGCAGTGTGGTAGTCAAACCAGATTTCCTGAATGGTTCCTCCATCAGACACATTTGCACGTTTAAACAGACGCACCCGCTGACCTGATCTATCAAGATTTGCTAGATTGACCTATCAATAAACCAATCAGTGATGTTTCCTATGCTACTGTTAGCGGTATTTCTGATCGGTTTAGAACATTACACCATGCTAAAGACATCAAGATGATCTTCTACCAACATTATCCGGAAACTGAACACTCTGTATTGGTGTAGGTGGCTAGCAGGTTATAAAAGTGCCTGTACACGGGCTGTGATTTTGTAGTTTAGTTTGCCTCTACCTGGTAATATATCGTTGTGAGTGACTGCAGGTACTGGGCCGGCGATCAATAAAGCTGCAGAGGACCAAACGTTTGATCTTTCCCATGGACCCGAGTGTTCATTGCCTTGCAAATTGAAAACTGAAATTCTGTCACCATTTCCTGCTTGCTGTGTTACACAACCAGAGGCAGGAAATATACACACACCCCGTCTCGCTGTGGTGTCACGCATTCACAGAACTCGGCGGGTGTGATGTATGATCGGTGATGAAACTTGTTCCTGGGTTTTAGTCGGGGATGGAGTTTGCATGACTGGTATGCCCCATCATCCCCACAGGAGCAGTCCAAGGGGATTTATTAATTAGATTTATATCCCGCTTTCTTCTTACACTGAACTCAAACAGGTTTACATCATTCTTGTGCTCTGTCTCATCCCCACAACAACAACCCTGCGAGGGAGGTTAGGCTGAGGGTCTGTGCCCCCTGCTGGCTCCATGGCTGAGTGGGGACTCGAACCCGGGTCGCCTGAGTCCCAGCCCTGCGCTCTTCACCACGACGCCACGCTGGCCCTCGTCTCCCATCCAAATATCTCTTTTTAAAATGGGGTGCTCTCAACAAGCAGGCTCTTTGGTGGACTGTAACACAAATGTAAATTAGCACATACATATTTCGCACTTGGGTCTTTTCTTATTCATATCCTGGGGGCCTGGTCCCTGCTCTTTGGGGTACCTAGGGGTGCCCCAAGAGTCCAGATGCCCAGCCCTTCCGTGGGGACAGGGAACCAGCTGGCCAGCCCCATAGCCAGAGCCGCTGGGAAACCGAAGAGACGCCTCGGGTGCAAGATCATTTTCTTCTTCTCTTTAAACAATTCCAGAATACTTTGCAGCTTTTCTGAAATTCCAGGGAGTGGTGGAGGAGAACGCTTCACACAGAGGGGATTAAAAGTCTTCTGGCAAGAGGACTGAATCGAGTGCAGAAAATAGGGCATCTGGCATATTTCAGCATAAATCTCTTCCTCCCAGTAACCGACCCTTCGGAAAAGCACTTTGGCTGGTCAGAACTGGGGTGGGGGGACAAGGCCAGGCACCCACCCACCGAGCAGCGGAAGTGGGAGATGAAATGGATCTGCAAGACGGACTCAACTCCATGAAGGAAACGGCGGCCCTGCATTTACGAGCGTCAAGCAGGGCTGTAATGGACAAGATTTTCGGGAGAGGAGGGGTTTCCTTCATTCAAATGGTCTGCAGGCTTTAAAAAATGGCTTTAAGTTTAATTTTATTCTGCTTTAAGGTCTGTAATGTTTAGATATTCTGTTTTATTATGCTCTTTTACTTTTTGGCTTTCAGGCATCTTTTGGGAAACAGCCAGGGGACTTAATTATTGGATGGTAACATATAAACATAAAGCAGGAATAGAATAATTTGCATTTATTTATTTCTTATTTATTAAAGGTTTTTAGGGACTGTTCTCTCATCACAAGCTCTCTGAACATTTTAAACCACTTGCATGTATCAGTAATGCATGCCCACTAAAGGAAAGCTCTGAAGAACAATTGTCCCACGACAAAATGTTTTTTCAGCCTAAATGAACTGAGGAAGCCCCCAGTTCCCCTCTTGCCTCTTTCTTAGGTGACTTTAGGGAAGCCACTATTCACTTAGCCTCCCTTGAACCGCAATGCTGGCTTAATGCCGGCCTACCTCACAGGGTTGTTGTTATTCATGAGAAAACAGGTGTGGAATTCGCATTCCAAAAGGGTTGGGATTGCTTTGATGCACGTTTGCGATCCAGAATGCAAGCAAAATGCGGAACGGCACTCAAGCCGGGAAACTTTGCTTCACATCTGCTTTCGGGACAGACAGCCAAGCCAAAACATTCCCCAGCCCTTCACCCCCATGTTTCCCAAGACCTGTCTGGGTACATGTAGTCCCAGCTAAGGCGAGCGGTAGGCACTCCCATTCCAGATGTTCCTATCCTTTCTTCCAACACACACATCTGGAAAGCATTGGGTTTTCCCGGACACCGATCAACAAATTCTTAGCCCTCCATGCCAAGGACAGCCGGCTCATGGAAATATTGCTACCGCCCCGGAGCGCTGACACGTGGGGGTCAGAAAACAAGCCACCACGTTCCCATGATTCAGCTGCGATCCGGTAGGATGGAAAACAAACAACAAACAATAGGAATAAATAATAGGGACCAAGCCACATCATGTGATTACAGTTTAACTGTTTATTCTCTTCTGGAGATGTTCACTTAACAACCTTACGCAGTTCTGGGGTACACGCCCCTCCGGGATGGTCCAGAATTATTCCCAGTTGCCTCCGATGAAGGACACACTTCAAGATTGTTGGAATCAGTGTTGGAAATTCTGCTAACCGGGGTAGGTGGGAGGGGACAGGGGGTGACCCCATCAGCAGACGATGGACAACGGCCTTTCCATCGATGCGTTCCAGGTTTTGGGCAAGAGTCTTTCCAATGGAACTGAAAAAATCCAGTGCTCCTACCCTCAGATCAAAAAAACGCACGGCATACATATAATTTCCAGTGTCTCTGTGTGTCGGTGAAGGACTTGCTTCCGAAGGGCAGCCCTTTTTGAACGGGGAGAAGAGAGCCTCTGATTTTGGAAAAAACTCAGGCAGGACAGATTCAAGGGAGGGAAGGTGGCAGGACAGGAAGTCCAAGCTGGCCAAAATCTGCTCATCCAGGGAATCAGACAGCCTCCCAGGGTTGACATCTTAAAGCCTGGCATTTTCATCCGGGTGGAGACATCCCTCCATCCGACAAAGTGCGCTCAAGTCCATAAACGTCCGTACCCATTTTTTCGCTGCAACCGAGTCACACGGCTAGCCCTCCGCCCCTTCTCCACAGCTTTCTTCTCCAAGCTTGCTTCTTCGGTACCTCAGTGTTATTACTCTCTTAAATGCAACCCTTCTAATAAATATATAAATAAACATCATTTGTGCCACAGCCTCTCTTCAATGGCTCTTCGGGAGATCAGACATGACATGACGCAGCGCTAAAATACATCGAGTTTTTCTCGCATGGGCTGCTGGTGTCCGTGGTGACTCGATCAGGTACTTGTCCTAGTGCAGCTGCTAGTAGGAAGGTGAGTTTATTCCATTCCTTTTTCCTAGGGGCAGGTTGGGGTCCATGGACTGGCGGATCTTGCCCACAGGTATCCAGAACCGGGGCCTGGCATGGCACCCACATTTCCCCCATGGAGGGCAAGCTTGGTGTTCTCCAGGGAACCAGTCTCCAGCTTGCACAACCTGATGGAGTTGTGGCAGATCCCCCAAATGGGGGTGCTCTTTTCCCTCACAACTTCTAGGGGGATGCCAACGGCCCCCCAAATGAGTCACTCTCCTCTAGCCCTGCATGCCGATTTTTCCTCGGGGTCCAACCAGGCGCCGGCCAAGGCTGCAAGCAGCCCGGGAGAGAGGAAGGCGAGCTGGGACGACCCCTCACAGCTGCTCCTCATTCCGGAAAGAGCTGTTGGCCGCCCCCTCCAGGCCTGGCTCGGTCTCCAGGATGTTATCCAGGGACCCCCGGGGGAAGCGCTTCTTCCTGCGGCACAAGAAATGCCAGGCCAGGGCGGACACGACCAGCAGCACAAGGGCGGCCGCCAGCCCGGCGGCGACATAGGCGTAGGGCATCTGGCGCGAGGGGGTCCGGCCGACCCGGCACGGCCCGTGCTCCCGCCCCCCGTCGTCCGTGGGGCTGGACCCGGCCCAGTTGGAGGCGACGATGCAGAAGAGGTACTCCTGGCCGGGCGACAAGCCCGTGACCGCCGTCAGCCGGAAGGTGCTGTTCAGGGCCGGGCCGGAGACGAAGTCCCCGCCGGCCGGCCGGTAGCGCAGCTGGTAGCTTTCCACCGTGGAGAGCGGTGCGCACCAATGCGCGCTGGCCCCCGTCTCGGTCGTGTGGATGGCCCGCAGGCTCGGGGGCTCGGGGGCCACGCCGGGGCCGCTGACGCCGGGGCACAGGCACCCGCTGGCCCTCCGCAGCTCCGAGCAGGGCACCTGGAGGTGCTGGCAGAAGTCATAGTCGCAGAGCGGGGGTGAGAGCCGCGGGGGGCCCGGGGTGTGCAGCTTGGTGGGGGGGTGGTTGTAGTCGTACTCCTCCGAGTAGTCCCCGAAAGACGGCTCTGCGGTGGGCGGCGGCGGCCGCTCTCCGTGCCCGGGGGGCGCGTGGCTCCCGGCGGGGCGGGGGAAGAAGGGGCCCTCCTTGAGTGGGACGGGCAGGGGGTGTCCCTTGCTGGTCGCCAAGCCGGGGGCGCAGAGCTTCAAGAGGCAGGCCGCCACCACGAACAGCGCCGGGGCTTGCATGGCTCCTGTGGAAAGAGGGGTAGGGAAAGCAGAACGGAGACGGAATCAGCTTTTCAGAGTCCGCGGATTTTATGCCACGGCCTTAATTCACGTGGCTCGAACTGCAGGCTGCAAACCTTCAGGTTAGATCAGTCCTGTCACCCTCGTCCTCCTGGCCCGATTGTTCGGGGGCTTCCCACCTCTCCACCTTTCGTCCTCCCATGGGGGAAGTTTCCGCATCCCGGGGCTGAGCGCGCTCAGAGAAACAGGCTGCTCCCTGTGGCCCCGGTTCTTTCGCCTTTGGTCTTGCCCACCACTGGCCGGGGATGCTGCGAGTTGTAGTCCGAAACATCGGAAGGGCGCGCCGGATTGCGGGGATGGAGCATTAAAGCAGTTGTAGCAAAGTTGCCGAGAAATATGAGCATGTTAGACAAGCTTGATGGGAAAGATCGTCCGAGCAGTTTGCAAGAGAGGGTGGAGAAATGACCCCGCTCCAAGGCGGGGGGGGGGGCAGAGAGAGAGATGACCAGCGGCTTGATCCGTGCCCTCCTTTGAGCAGCATGATGGGCTGTTTTGGCCACATCGAAGCAGTCACAAGAATGGCTCTCGCCCGCTCTGCTGTGCTGCCCTGTAATTCAAGCACTGAAGCGGACTACAGAGCAGCCAATTTTTCTTAGATAGACTACTCCTGCAAATAGCAGCTCCATTTTTGCATCCCGGTCTCGCAAATGGGAACACAGACACTCCCAAATCGAAGAACAAGGCAAGGATCATGTACTCAAACCCTGCGCTGGGCATAACAGAGTCTTCAACTCCTTCCAGTTTGCTATCCTGTTACAAATTGCAGACACAAACAGCTTTTCCCGCCTGTAGCAATTTGGTGGCTTATGTATCGCCTATGCAAGGGCCTTTATGTTAACAGACAAACCAATTTGCAAGTAACCAAGCAACAATCAGAACAAACATAACAAAACAAGCTTAAAAACCAAAGCAGCTTAAAAAGCCAGATTAAAAAATGCATCTTACCCCCACTACTAAATGCAGAAAGCAGAGACCCGTTGCAGCTACGCACGATCCGGACTTCGGAACAACACAAGAGAAAGTCCTCTATTTTCTCTCTCTCTCTCTCTGTCCTAGCATGATTTTTCAGGATGCTCGTAATATAAGCCCTACCCCTAAAATAACCCCCAGTTAAGATCGTCAGCCAGACCGATGCATTTAGTACATCCACTGAAACATAATTCGGGGTTTGGAGAGTTATGGCGATGTTCCAGAAGATGTTCACCCAGTTGGCTCCATGGCTGAGCGGGGACTCGAACCCGGATCGCCTGCGTCCCAGTCCCACGCTCTTAACCACCACACCACACTGGCTTTCTACCTAAACATGCATAGAATTGCACCTTTAGTTATTACAAATCTGGGTGCAACTCACACTTTGGTTGTCATGGTGAATTCTGGTTGCCAGCCCTGAGAAAGGACATTGTTGGCTGGAAACATGCAGGAAAGGCAAGCGACGTTATCGAGGGTTGGTGCGGCTCCCTTGCGAGGAAAGGTTTTGAAATCTGGAATTGCTAAAAGGGAGGATGCTAGCAGTAGGCAAACCCAGGAGTGGTGTGGGAAGCAGAGAGGGGAGAACCGAGAGCTTCGGCTGTTGGGTGATATAGAAATATAATTAATACATTTTTTCTGCCTCTGCCAACATATTAGACCCCAAAGGGGTTGTCCCATAAAGCTGATTCGGGAAACACAAAAGGAAGGGCTTCTTTCACGAAGCTCACTGCCTCGCCCACCTCACAGGGATGCTGTGGGGATAAAACAAGGTCCTGGATACTGCCTTAGATTTATATCCCACTTTCTCCTTCCAAAGAACTCAAAGTGCCTTGCATCAGTCTCTTCCTGCTTGCAAGCTTATCCCCAGAACAACAACCCTGTGAGGCAGGCTGGGCTGGGAGTCTGTGGCTGGCTCAGAGTCACCCCGAGAGCTCCAGGCTGAGGGGGGACTCGAACCCGGATCACCGAGTCCCAGCCCTGTGCCTTTCAGCAAATCGAGCATCTTGGCTTGGCCGAAACCAGGGTGGGAAGGCAGTGGAGTTGGCCCGGATGTGCCGCCACGGCCAGGTGAAAGATTAAGTTCTCGGCGCAGGTTGTTACTCACCTGGCATCCACAGAGCAATGGGGAGTCAGCTTTCAGCGGGCAGCAAACCGAGGCAGCAACACGGGCTTTCCGGGACCACCGCTCAGGATCCAGACGAGGCTGTGGCCGGGAGCTGAAAGAGCCGGACCCTCGAGGGAGGAGAGAGACTTCTCTTCTGCAGCGAAGCGTCCAGAGTCACTGGGCTCCAGAAGCTAGCGAGCGGAGACAGGCGCTGCCGAGCGAGGGGACCGTGGTGCCGTCTTGCCCGGCCGGCAGGTTCTCTTGGCATCTGCCGGCACACCGCTGCTTCTCAGACGGCTGCGGGGGAAAAAACTTTTATATCTTACTAGGGGGATGATCTCATCCCTCCTTCCCTCCTTCGCAGCCGGGCCCAGCCAGTGAGAATCCAGCAAAATGCAGCCGGGGGGTGGAAAAGCCCCCTTGCTCAAGCGGGGCCACCACACCCCCCGGGCTGCAGGTGCCGGCAAAGAAAACAAACAGTGCCATATAAGGGGCTGTTCATGTCCTCTTGGGCTGCGCCAAAAAACCACGTTTAAAAAATAGTAATTCCCGTTCGCTGGGAGAGAGGGATTAGGTGTGGTGTGGAGGGAAGCCAGTGCAGAAAAGGATTAATTCTGGATGGGTGACAAGATAGAGGAAACTCATCACATTGCAGACCGTTTTTCCGGTGCTGGCCCAGCCCTGCGCTTGATCCGCGTACACTCATCCATTCTCCGCCACCCATCTCAGCATCCCGCCAGACAGTTCTGGGGAAAAGAGGCCCTCTTCCATCAGGAGTGGAGCCAGGACTGTCCGGCCTGCCCCAAGCTGCGAGGTCCTCGCCCGTCCTTTCTTCACAGCAGCGAATATTCTTGCGCCCATTTTACAGACAAAGAACTGAGGTCCAAGCCTTGCACGGGACAGTGCTGGATCAGACCAAGGATTTCTAGTCTTAGCATCCTTTCCCAGACGCTCACACGGGGCGTGTGACAGCACCCTCAAAATCCCCAAAAATTGGTGGACAAAGGCACACCAACTCTTTGGTTGCCAGCAGCTTTCTCTCCCCAAATTGGTCAAATCTCCCTTTTTAAATCAAGATATTCTATGGCAGCAAATTCCCAAGCTTTCCCTGACCCGGTGCTCTCTAGCCTTGCTGGACTACAACTCCCATTAGCCCTGCCATGGTTCGAGTGTGATGAGGAGGCACCCCAAACATACTTCTCATCTGCCCAATGATACAACAAAAGAGTGACTCCATCCCACCTCAGGCTGCTATGCGTTTAGCAGCTGCAGGACAGGCAGATGTTCAACCTGTGAAGCTCTCCCCCCTCCCCCGACTGCGATTCATGCAGGCAGAAATTTTCCCTGTTGTGACACAGAGAAAGCTGATGGGTGGATCATCAAGCTGGACCAAAGATTTCAGGTCACATCCGCTGACAGGGAAATGACGAGAAGGAGAAAAGTCCTGCATACTCACAGATTGATGAAATTGCTGGAAAAGCAGAAGAGTCGCAAGAAGAAAAGGCGTCTGCCAGTTTCTAAGCAGACGGAGCAAAACAACTAAGGCTGCAGCAACCGCTGCCCTGCTGTTGCTTATTATTAGTTTTTAACTGCTTTTGCGTAACAGAAGACAACATTTCCTCCCCACACGGTGACATCTTCCATCTGGCTCAGGGGCTAAGATGATCTTGGATGACCTCCTGCAGCTTTGAAATGCTTCCATTCCCATTTTACAGCTGAACAACCGAGGCAGCGAATCCGCCCTCACTGATCCTGAAGACCTGCTGTGCTGGGATTCTTTTCTAGAAGTTTTTTCAAACTCAAGACCGAACGCTTGATACTTTTACAATCCAAACAGACACTCTTTCGATAGATGTCCCCAAATATTTTCCGCGCAAGGGTGCTATCTCACCAGATCGGTCAGGGATGCGACCAGGTTTCAGGGTTCAATGGTGATATTTCATGGGTCCCCCTCCCACACCACCCATCAGCCACAGTTCAAGCTGGAGCTTTATTTCCTGTCAGGGGAAGATGGGAATGTGTGCATTCCATCGGGGACCTTCAGGACTTCTCCGTCACCGAGGACCTGAACATCTCAACGCCGATTGCATTTTAGGGAACACCTCGTGCCAGTCGATTTGGGGGGACCCCGAGGCGAGTCCGAGTCTCGTAATGCCTCAAGGGATGGCACTCGGGCGACACCCCCCGGGGGCCGTGGACCCCTCGATCACCAAAGGACAGCCGATGGGAGGTGATCGGACTCCCATGCCCAATCCCTCACAGCTGTGCAGGCCAGGAATGATGGATGTCGTAGTCCATCTGCATCTGACCACTTCCCTACGGCATTTGATACCCTGTTCCGTTCCGCGCAAGACCAAAGCAAACGGGTTTTGCAAGGTGGCGGCAGCCTTTGAGGGAAGCCACATTCTGAGCATCCGTTTGGCGATTCTTGTAATGCAAGAATTTTATCGCCATGTCTGCTTGCTGCCAAAATGTAAAATGAGAAATAAAGGCAGAACTTTGCCTTCTGCAGCTTTAATATGTGCAGAAAGATATCTGAAATGGGGGGACGTGACGGCACGGATCGTCTGCCACCAGCTTCGAACACCGGCTTCGTGTTAGAAGGGAAAGATATTTTGCAAAGTCCATTGTCTTTCGAATTAAATGCATTTTGTTCTGTGCTTACTGGGGTGTGGGGGGGAGACTCTGTGCATGCTCAGGGGTACCCTTGCCTGCATCAGATTCTGTAAAAAAAAAAAAAAGGAGGGGGGCATTTCTCCTAACCTAAAAGCAAATATTCACATACAAATCTTCACAGTAGTGGATCTTGAAGAAACAGCGTAATCTAGGGCTGTTGAAAAATGGAATTTTCTGTCACTTGACAAGCAGCACAGCTTCCCACTTAGGCAGGCTTTTTAAATTTAGAAACTCTTTCTGCATCCCACATTTCAAATTAGGTTGTTCCTAATTCACCCAGCTCTTGTCAGCAATCTGCGATTCTTTTTTTTAAATCCAGGCTCTGAGAAAAAAGTGAATTTCCCCCTTTTCTTAAAAAAGAGCAGCTTGATTAACACAAGCTTAGTGACTAAGCCTTTGCCCAAAGTATTTAGAAAATGGCCAGCAGGGAATGACTCCTTGATGGGGAAGCATTAATTACATTTTAGAAGGAAATAGAACTAAAGCAATGTTTTTGAAAAAGCCTGCTTTTTGTTTAAACTTTTGCTGACTCACGTTCATCAACTTCTTACTCAGCAGAGACGAACATTCCTGGGCAGAGGCAGTTTTTACAATGAAAAGCTTTCGATGACTATGAATTAACCCTAGAACAGTCCGTTAGCATGATTAAGATGAAACGACACCCATTTCTCATCCTGTACATGTCATTTCCATTCTGCAAAATGCTAGTCCTGCAGAAACTAAAAGCCATCACCTTTCAAATTCCATTGGGGCTTGCATCATGCCGAAATGCAAGCGTGTGCCTGTGTTTTTGGCTTGGGGAACGTGCAAAATGCTCACTTTGCCCGGGACCTGAGAGCTGAGGTTTCGGTCGGCAAGGAAGTGGGCAGGGAATGAGGCATAAATGAAAACATGGCTATTTGAGGGCAGAATTTTTGGCATTCACAAGAGACAGGTAATGTTTGAGACATGGTTAGAGCATCTGGAGAATTTTTTAGCTTGGATCATAGATGCCTGGGGGAGGGCGTATCCCACAGGAGGATGGGTCAAGTAGTCTGGCTTGTGCCCCCGACACACCTGTGCTCGGGGTGGGGTGAGCTAGGGGGGCCAGGCCCCCTAAATTCTCTCTCCTCCACCATGCTTTCGAAACAAATCCTTTTAAAAGTGTGCCATGCTGTTTACAAAAGACCTGTAAAACTTGCGATCCTTTTTGGCGCTCCCCAGATTTAGGCAGAGTACAGGATTGGTTCTGCTGCCGCTGGCCTTCTGGTGTGGGGAAAACAGGGCACCCCATTACCAGCCCTGAGAGAAAATGCAGCGGCTGTCGGTTTCTATGCATGGAGCAAGGAAAGGCTTTTTCCTTTGCTTCAGATGGCGAAATACGTCAGGCCAACCCAAGAGAGAATTTTAAGCTTAGTAATTACTGGGCAAACAGGCTGACGGATGATTTCATAGAGCAAATCATTAATTTTTTGGAATTCCGTTCTATGAGTAAGGGGCACAGAATCTCCCAAGTTTCAGCTGCTGGATGTATGGAAAGGAGACAGGAGAAGCCAAAGTGGCTGAATGATTTTTAAGCAGCAATATTACATTTTGAGCCTACCTTTTTTTCTCCTGCTCCTGCTCTCAATCTTCTCCCCAGAACAACAACCCTGCAAGGTAGGTTAGCTCAGGAGCCGTGACCGGCCCAAGTCAGCCAGCGAGTTTCATGACTGAGTGGCGACTTGAACCCGGTTTGAGATGCCACTTAGCTTTCACAAGACATAATCACAGTCCAACACTTTAAGGATGAAAGAGGGAGAATTCTGTAAGATCGTTTAGGTTTCTTACAAAAGGGAAAAAGTGAGGAGTTCTGGGTCTGAGTATCCACTCAGTCATGAAGCTCACTGGGGGACACTGAACAGGTCACAAACCCTCAGCCTGACCTACCTCGCAGGGTTGGTGTGAGGAAAAACTGAGGAGGATATCAGCTACCTTTGGTTCCTTGCGGGAAAAAGGGGAATATAATGTAAATACAATAGAATCGAATTACTACTGGACTCAAAGGGCTATGGTCCTTCTCCAACTCTTAAGTTCTTATCCAAAAAATAGTTTGAAGACAAGGTGTGGCTTTTAAACGGCTACAGCTAGAAAACGTTCGGCCTTCCTCGCCAGGTCTCCAATAAGCGGAAAACAGAGATCCCATGCTAGCATTCTGAGGTTTCCACACACCCGTCCCCTTTCACCAAAATTAGGAGCACCAGCAAAGCATTATGGGAAGCGAGGTGGTGTGGGAGAACATGTGCCCTCCATACATCACTGCGGTGGAAACAGCACAGTGCAGATGTGACACGAGGGGGTGCACCCTTCCGGGGGCGGAGGAGCAAAAGGGCCTACACACCACACTCCCCGGCACCAGGGCGGAATTACATGTGGGTTACTCCTCGCCTCTGGAATGCAGACGGCTCTCCTTTCTTTCTTGGAAAAGCATCCCTTCATTCCACTCCAAGTTAAACTGCAAAATAAAAAAAGCAAAGGCCGATGGATCATATGCGGGTTCTCGGGAAAAATGCTATTCATTAAAAAAAAAAAAACCCCAGCAGGCAACACCCAAGGTAAACGGCCAGGGCGGTTCAAGCCAGTTTTCCGTGTGCGTTCCAGGACGGAGGACAAGCACCCACACACACGAAGAGAGCCTTCCCCAGGCAACCCGTCTCCCGCCCACAACTGGAAATAGACCTGCCAAGGATCCCACTTTGCAAATTATTTAGCAAAATTATTTTGGGCTTGCTAATCTGATCACTGATGCGCCCAGACCTGCAGTTTTACTCTGTCCTTTCTGGCTTCTGAAGATTCCAGCAAGTCTCTTCCCCAACTTATTTCCATGCTGCTTCAGTCAAGAGGGCTAGAGACTTGCCTTATTTTGAAAGTTTCAGAGAGATTCAGAAAGCTAAGTTATGTATGCAACAGCGCACACACCGTCCCTCAATGCTATAGCACATCTCTACATCCGAGAAATCCCGATACAATTTAAGCTGTTTTTACCTGGAGTTGGGCGTATTGAGAATTTTAGCACTTTTCCCCTCCTTCAAGGTAAATCTCTACTCTTTGGCTCAAAGCGACTCACTAGGCAGCTGGCAGAAGTGCTGCAAGTACAGAAAACTAGCACAGCATACAGTTCTAAAGAACCCAGCTTTCTAAAATCATCATTAAGTTCCTAGTCCTTAGGATTGCAAATGTTTCTCAGCACCTATATCCACACACACACACACATCTGAGCAAACTATTTGGGAGCTCGAAAAGTGTAGACGTGGCCAGATAAAGATTTCCATGGGCCAAGAGGCTTCTCCGCCCTGCTGTTCCCCAGATGTGTGGGGCTCCGACTTCCGGCGGGCAAGCCGAACTGCCAGGAATCATGGGAGCTGAAGTCAGAGCACCTGGAGGAGCCCGGGATGAGGAGGGATGAGGAAAGGGAGGACTCTTTGCCCGAGCCTCGGCAAAGCAGGCGAGAGACGACCCCCTGGCTTGCCTTGCCAAGGGGCAACTTCCCACGGGATCATCGCGACGGGATGAAGGACACGCCAACGGCTGCGAACGGGCCCAACGCAACGCACAACACGCCGTGGCACGCAGCCGGACCCACAGGAACTCTGCACACCGGCAGGTCTGGTTAGCAGGTACTTTTATTTAAGTGACAGTGTCTCCGGGCGAGGAGGGCGTGCGGTGGGCAGAGGCGGCGCCTGGAATGTACGCGTGAGCTCGGAGCCGTGCGGGTCTGGAAGGCGGCGGCGGAGGAAGCCCCCCGAGGAGAGCCCGGGGGTCGCGCCCGAGTCCTTCAGGAGCTGGCGCACGTGCTTCTCTGGCGGAGCTCCGAGCCGGGCAGGAGGGTCTCGGGCCCCGGGAGCAGCAGGCCGGAGGGGTCCGACTCCAGGGGCGGCGAGAGGAAGTTGGCTTCGGAAAGCAGGGACGAGTCGTCCACCGACTCGAACTCGGTCTCTGCGCACAAAGAGAGAGAGATGCTCGTCAGCTTGGCCGTTCTTATCGCCCCGGGGCCGGCCGGCAGCTCCCTCAAGAGGGGAGGGAAGTGGGGGAAAAGATCGGCGTTATCCCAACGGGGGGACCGAGAAGGGGGGACCTCTGGGGCGGCGGGAGGAGGTTGCAGCAGCTCAGGAAAAAGCTGATTTGGGGAGATACGGAAGAGGCGTGCAGAATTAGGCATGGAGTGGAGGACGAGTATAGGTTTTTTCTCCCTGTCCCGGAACACTAGAACCCAAAGGGGTCGTCCCGTGATGGACAAGAGATTTGGGATAAACGAATGACTTCTCCACATGGCGACGAAGGGAAATTCTCTGCCACCAATGGAGGGAGCGATGGCTGCCAATCCGGACAAAGTCATGGAGAAGCAGGCAACTAGTCCTCATGGATATAAGAACTCCAGCAGCAAAGCCAGGATGCAGGGGGTTGTTCTGCTGTCCTGCCTCCGGGTTTCTCCTGAGCAGTGTGGACCGAGTGCGGGATGAAACGGACCTTTTGTCAGACGTGGCATGACCATTTTATTACATCTTATATAATTTTTCGGGGCTCTCCTGGCCTCTGGAGCCCCTTGCCAAGCAAGGCCGGGCTCGCTGCATAACTTGATGTCCTTCCATGAACAGGCAGAGACATTATTGTTCAAAATAAGACATTGTCCAGATGGGTTTTTTCATGAAGCTTTGAATGTGTTTAACTGCTGTTCTTTAACCTCTTTCATCCTGAACGCAAGGAAGAATTGAAAGCCAAGAACTGAAGGCACCGATGGAGGAAGGCCCAAACGCAAAATGTCCAAATATTTTAGCTGAAAACCCAGTCTGACAGCAACAAAGCCAAAAAAGAGGCAGTCTGTCTTTTTAGAACGAGGAGGCAAGAGCCCCATGCGAGATGCCAAAAGGAACGTACTTTGCATTTCTGATTGGCAAAGGTCTCCAAACCGCTGCCTACCTTCGTTTTCTCCTTCCCCCAGGCTGGATTCAGTTCTGGATTCGAGTCTTCCGAACCTGCTGCGGTTCTTGGCTTGCGTTGCTGCCGCTACGGAGGAGGAGAAGCGACGCGTGAGCGGAAACCAGCCTGTGGCCAGAGCTGTGTGAACTGCTGCCAAGAGCCAAAACTCAAATCTGGATCAAGGCATCACAACACGTGGAAAACTCGAGTCTATTGTTGATATAATGAAGCAGGGAATCAAGCCTGTTGCAGCAGATTTGACAAGGCAAAAGGAATGCGAAGGAGTGTAGGAAGAGGCACTTCCGGGTGGAGAGACTTAAACTGGAGGCAGTACAAGATGTTTGTTCAAAGCAGCTGTCTTTCCAGATGTTTCAGTTAGAACGGGGCCTTGACCTCTGGTTTATTGTTGTTGCTAGTCATGAAGTCGTGTCTGACCCATCTTGACCCCGTGGACAGCATTCCTCCAGGCCTTCCTGTCCTCCACCATCCCCCGGAGTCCACTCAAGCTCACGCCGACTGCTTCAGTGACCCCATCCAGCCCCCTCATCCTCTGCCGTCCCCTCCTTCTTTTGCCATCAATCCTTCCCAGCATCAGGCTCTTCTCCAGGGAGTCCTTCCTTCTCATTAGGTGGCCAAAGCATTTGAGCTTCATCTTCAGCATCTGGCCTTCTCAAGAGCAGTCGGGGTTGATCTCCTCTAGGACTGACCAGTTGGATCACCTTGCGGTCCAAGGGACTCGCAGGTGTCTTCTCCAGCACAATTCAAAGGCCTCAATCCTTCGGCGCTCGGCCTTCCTTCTGGTCCAGCTTTCACAGCCATACATTGCAACTGGGAAAACCACAGCCGTGACCGCTGGTTAGGAAGGGAATAAGTAACAGGCAGCGTGGATTTGTCGACGTTCAGGTCTAGGGGCCAAAACTAGCCCTCTGAAGTTTCTTAAATAGCTATGCCCGTTCACATGGCCTGATCCCCTTCCAATCTCTAAGAGGTTTCCCCGGTTTGTATGCTGTTTCCACAGCACCCTACAGGGCTGGAGTTTCTGCACTAAGGTGTGGCTGCAAGCAAGAACACCATTTATTTACCCAGTATTTTAAAGTTTAAATATTTTAATTATGTTTCTATCCTCAGCCGTGGGTTATTATGATGTATATATTGGGTGATTAATTGTAAACCGCCCAGAGATGTACAATAATTGGTTAGAAATACGCTAAATAAATAAATAAATAGGGGCTGCTTGGTGGTGGCACCCCAGCTTTGGAATAGGCACCATGGCCGCTAGCTTTTTGGTGCCAGGGAGAATTTAACCTTTTCTCCAGCTATTACAACAATTGATTGCAATGGCAATTTGGTTTTAAAGGGTCTCTATTTTTGGCTTTTGTTGATTTCAGTTTACATTGTTTTATTCTGATATTTTATGTAATATTTGTATTTTATATATTATGTTTTACATTTGGATTATGTTGTTAATATGTATTGAAGCTGTCGAGTTCGTGCTATTGAATTTAGAATGTCGTGTGGTTTTATGCATTGTGAGCAGCAGAGAGCGCCCGGGTGTGAACTAGTGTAGCGGCACACAAATTGAAAAAGTAAAATAATGAGCCAAACTATGCCGCTGTTTCAGTCCCTTCCCCTTTTTCTTCTGGCCTCGCATCCCACCAGAATGGGATGGGATGCGGCCCCCGAGCTTCTCTGAAATGAAGTTTGGCCCTTTGGTGGAAAAAGATTTGACATACCCAGCCAAAGACAAAAGGAAATTGAAAAGAGAAATCCACATACCTGTTTGGGACAGCGACTCCCCTTCGGAAGCCCCCACCTCTTCCATCTGCGGCGGAGCAATCTGCCCTTCATCTGAGCCTGCGGAAGAAATAAACTGGCTTTCGACAACCACGGCCGTTGCCTCCAGACTTACGACAAAAGAGGCCGATGAATGTCAGGCCTGGAAATTGAGGTCTTCGCTGTGATTTTCTTCTCCTTGTGTGTCCATTTTAAGGGATTTGAAGATCAAGCTGCCCCAAAGGCACGGTTTGTGAGCAGCGCCGCAGTTTGAGCCTCCAAAAAGTACAAACAGGCCAACTTGCCATTTGTGCAAATGGCATGTCAACAGACGAGGGCGGGGGGCAGACCCACACGGAGGGTTTCGCAGAAGCCTAACCTCCCAAGCACAGGTTAATTCCTGGGACCAAAAGATCGAAGCACGTCAGACCAATTCAGTCCTGCTTGCACTGGATGCTGGTTTAAGATCCCAATACCTGCCGGAGTTTTCCTCCTGGTATGAACCTGCTTATATAATACGATCCCCACGTGAGACCTTCCACCAAGTGTCCTTCAAGGGAAGCTTGAAGAGAGGCCACGAGGGAGAGGGCCTTCTTGGTGGTGGCCTCGCAGCTGTGGAATCATCTTCCTGCTGAGACACCCACCTGATCCCAAAGGCCAGGTTAAGACTATCTTTTATATCCAGGTGTATGAGGGCATTTTGATGCCATTTTTCATATCTGGTCCCGATATCTTACAGTAACCCTGTTTTCACTTGTTTTAAATTATTTTTCAACTTTCTTTAGGTTTTTCTTTTCTCATTGCCGTAAACCACCCCAAGGGCTTCTGCTACCGGACACTACGGAAATAAAATAAGTGAATGATCTTTAAAAAGTCACTTTGTTAGCTATCCGTTTCAGATTTGCAGTTTCAGACGCTCATCCAGCCACCAGAGGAAGAAAGAGGGTTGTCACCTTGGTTTGCCAGATTCAGATATTGTGCCAAGCCATCGTTTGTGTAACTTGTTCTTCGCAGCAGCTTGTCTTTTTCATTTGCCATCTGTGCGGCAATTGCCAACGGGTTTGGGGGCAGAACTCAGGCTGCTGGCCTTTCGGCCCCAGGTTAAGACCGTTCTTTGGATCGTCCCACAAGGCTTTGGATCAGCAATACAACTTGGGTACCGCATCAGCCGGGGAGCAAGCCTAACTGTGTAAGTTTGGGGCTTCTGTCCAACCGTTCCTGGAGGGCTGCCCCTTCCTCACACCCCCCCAGAAGGACCCCTGCCCCGGTGTTACCTTCTTTGGGGACCACAACCCGCCGATGCCCGTCTTCGGCTTGTGGCGCTGCTCCAAGTCTTTCCCGGCCAGACAGCTATGCAGGATGGAGTCGGGAGAACGGAGAGACAGGAAACGAGAATCAGTTCTGGGGCTCAGGGTGTTGTTATTCTCACGAGACGGTATTTATCCCCTGCCTTTTGCCCTCCTGTGAGGAGGAACTCAGGGCTGTCGCCACGGCTCCATTTTTCTCCTCCCAACAACCACCCTGCGAGGTAGGTGAGGCTGAGAGCGAGTGGCTGGCCAGCCTTCAGCCTCCCAGGGAGCTCACAACCAAGCGACCTGGATCTGGGAGGCCCTCTGTCAGCGCACCAACCATCCGTAGGCCCCGTTCCTTCAAAACCCCGCTATGGCTTCATGTGGAGTGGGGGTGTGGAACGTGCGGCGGTCCGAGGGCCCCGCTCCATCTGGAGAAGCTTGGGGGCCGCATCCCGGTGGTGGGCGGGGCCAAGGGCAGAAGGGGCGGGGCTAAGTCCTAGTGGCTTGGATTGTCCCGACTTGGCAAGCGCCGGGGCAATCCGAGAGGCGATTTAGCCTTCTTGAATCGGGGGGAAGCTGGACCAGATCCGGTGCCTGGAGAACGGGGAGGGGCGCTGGGGAAGGGCCGTGGCCAGCCGGGGGCCCAGCATGTCCCAGGAAGGTGGGTGCTTCTTGGGGAGATACGGGACACGCGAGGAAAGAGGGGCGGCCTGACCGTTCTCACTTCTGTGGGGACGGGTGGCCCAAGAGGGCGCCGTCCTCGCCCCTCACCTGCACGGAGAGGGGCTCCCTGGGCCACATGCTGCCCCACATCCACTGCAGGTAGCTGAAGAGGACGATGACGCTCAGGAAGGCGAAGTTGCTGACCACCCCCAGGATGGCAGACGTCACCGGGAAGTTGTAGAGAAGGTATCTGTGGGAAGATGGAGCAGGAGGGGGGCGGTTAGAAGGCCCTGAAAACTGCTGTTTAGGCCCTTTCATGCTGCCCTCCTGACAGCGTGGCCGGCCAGGCCCGAGCTGGCTGGAGGTGATGGGCAGGGTAGTCCCAGGGGGCTGTGGACGATGGGCACTGACATCCCAGGAATGCCGATTCCCCCCCCCCCCGTTTAGATTTATATCTTGCCCTTCTCCCTCTTGCAAGGGACTCGGGGCAGCTTGCATGGGTGGCCTCTCCATTTTATCCTCGCAAAAACACCCCTGTGAGGTAGGGCTAGGCTGAGGGTCAGGGACTGGCCCAAAATCACCGAGAGAGCTCTGCGGGGACCAGAAGCCAGGTCTCCCAAGTCCCGGTCTAAGATACTGGCCAGAAAGGGAAGGCGTTGCAGTCCAGGGATGATGGGTGTGTAATCCAACACAAACGGAAGAGGGCGAGCTGGCAAAGGCCGACGTGCACGCCCTTTTCCACCACGTCGCCAGGAAAATGGAGAGCTGCGTAGTTACAAGACCCGCACAAGCGCCTTCCGGACACCCCCAGGCAGGAGATGCTTTCGGGCACCATTAAGACCAGCTCCTCTGACCCCTCTGGAGGTCACCCCGTTAGGACAGGCACCTGCCACATCCACCAAATCCACCAACAAGGGGAACGAGCCGCTGCCTCCTCTCCGCATGCAAGACAGAGCTAGTCGATGCGCTACAACTGCCATCAACCCCACCGATGGCTGGCTGAGGGTGATGGGACCTGTAGTCTCACACTATCGGGGCAGCCAAGGCTGGGGAAGGACAAGGGAGTCTGTTTCAGGCCGGTGCAGGTTTGGAAGCAAACGCTGCAGGCGAACACGGAGCGTGAGATCCACCATGGAATTTGGTGCCGGGCTTTGCATACGTACTCCTGCAAATACACATGTCTATCAACTGCTGCGAACTGCCCAGAGAGTTCAGCATTCGGTGGTACAGAAACGTAACAAAGGGCAAAATTATTAAATGAAGGATTAAGGAGCGACATCTTGCACATGGTAGGGTTCCAAAAGCTCCTCCGAAATCCTAATTTGAGTCCTCCAGTTCCCTCCCCCACAGCTTCCCCCACTGGACGGTCCCATCCTTACCGCAGACCGGTGAAATGGGCATGAATGCGCAGGTAAGCGCCATAGATCTGGATCCGCGTGGTCTGAATTTCTATCACGGCACCAACGGTGGGCGTGTACTACAGAGAAAGATCGGTTGTTCAGACCGTGCGACGGAAGACTGTAAGGCTGCTTCGCTGCAAAGGAACGCCTCCCCATGTGCCACCCACACAATTTTTGTCTCGACGGGCCTCCTGTGACATCAGGGTCCATTTCCTCCCCACGCCCAACACCCTGCTTGAATCTAATCTAGTCCACATATCTGGTGGCAGCTGTTTGAAGCAAAGCAAAGGTTCTGTTTCGCCAGAGCTCGGCAGGCAATTGTGCTGTCCGACTGTGCAAGAGCTCAGCTGCTTTGCCCAAGCATCTTTGCAAGAACTCAGTTGCAAGAAGAGTTTGGGAAGCTCTCAGGCTTTCACGAGGCTCGTATGGCTAACCCTAAGGAGAAATACACACCTTGGTAAGGACACTCACAATACCCATCTTCCTCCCTTTCCTCCCCGTGATGCATGGACTCTCAAACTACGATCCATCTGGTACTGTCTTCTTAAACAACAGCAAGCCAGGTTCCGCCAATGCAGTGCCCTCCAGATGCTTGGGACAACAGCCGCCAGCTTCCTACACAACCAGAGGGCCAAGGAAGGCTGCCTTTAAGGCAGCTTGTAAGACAAGGCGGACTGGATCTGTCCCGAGCATTTGATTCTAAGATGGATGGATGGACGAACAGAGAAGTGGCACAGGGGACCAGCAGCCCTTCAAATCCTTTCGAACCACAACTCCCATGAGCCCTCATTATTGGATACGCCAACCAAGCATTGTTGGGAGTTGTGGTCCAAAAGGTCTCCCCATCCCTCTTGGTTTTAGATCTGGGGTTAGATCCTTGCTTGAGTATAAGCCTACCTTGCTGGGTTGTTGGGCGGATAAAACTGGGAAGTGGGCATCGGATGCACGCAGCCCTTTCAGGGAGAACTGGGGGTTAAAAGGGGCATTTCCCAAGTGAGAGAAACTGCCTTTAAGATTAGGGGGAAGAGAGACAAGGGGAGAATGCCTGCAAAAGAATTCCCGTCTCGGAGAGCGACGCGACACCAGCAAGACGCTGCTCACCGAGTCTTCCTTGTAGTCCGAGTACAGCTCGATTTCCACCATCTGCTTCTGCTCCGTGAAACCGGTCAAGAAGAGGCTGGCAAAAGCCAGGGTGTCGAGGATCTGCAGGAGGCCTGAGCGGTAGTGGAGCATGGCCTGGCCAAGGGAGAGAAGGGACGAGCTGAATCACCACCACAGAGGCCACCCAGTTTGATCTGCCGCTGCTTCGTCCAAAGGGCCCTTTGCTACGGGTGGCAAGAGCCGCAAGCGAAGACATGCCGGCACTTTCTGCCCACCCACCACTGGAATGCAGGTCCCAGAGAGCTTCCCTCAAAGGAAGGATGCCAGAAGGCAGGACACGGAATAATCAAGTCAAGCTGCGACAACCCAGAGTCAGGCTGGGCATCAGGAAGAGCTTCCTCACTGCCAGAGCAACACGACAGTGGGACCAGCTGCCTGGAGAGGTGGGGGGCTCTCCCACACTGGAGGCATTCACGAAGAAACTGGACAGCCCTCTGAGTGGGGTGGTGTGAATTGGTGTGGACCTGACGGCCCCTTCCAACTCTTCTGTTCTATGATCCGGCCCTCGGAGTTCTGCACAGTCAAAGCTGCGAGGGCCGTGATCCCTCGAAGGCGGACTTGATTGACTATAATTGAAGGCCACCACAGAAAATCAAAGATGTTCTTGGCAAGCTCTGTTCCATGCTCCCCTGAGCCCTCTCCCAGCTGGGGATGATAGTCTGACACCCTTGAAGGGCACTGAATTTAAAAGGCTGCATATGAACAACATGGAACAGCTTGTTTTCCCCGCTGCCTCCAAAATGCAGCCAATGGGCCACAAAACCCACCAGCCAGAGTCGCCGCATCTCCCTTTCTGCAACGGAGGCGCTCCAAACACTTCCATGCCGTCCGCGTTTGGGCATGAACCCCAATATTTGCGAATATTCCCTGAAGGACGGCCCTACTCCGCCATGCTCCCGGTTAAAACCTCCGCAACTTGGCTGCACTCGCCGTGCCCGCCCACCACCTCCCCGGACTCCAGACATACAGATCTGGCCGATGACGAGATGATGCGCCCGCCTTTTGTGTAGCAAGAGATCACCACCATGAACATCCCCAGGTTCTGGTTGACCGGCGACTCGGGAAGTTCCAGTTCTAGCGAGATGCGATACGGCTGGCCATACATGAGGACCTGAAGGCAGAGGACATGTTGGAGAGGAAGAGGAGGGAGCGAGGAGCCGGTGGCATGGGCAGCCCTGTGTTCTGGGGGTCCCTTGGGCAAGGCACTCTCTGGGGGTCCCCTCCTAGCCCCTGGATGCCCTTCATCCCCTGAATTTGGGGTGCTACAGGCCATCACACTGGAGAATGTCATTTAAATGTTACATGAGGTCGACTTGGTTGTAGGAATACTTGTAAAAGTTTAAAGACCGCAGCACAGGCTTCCCTTTCACAGTTTGAATTTAAGAAAAGCACATGCAAAAGGTACGAAGGACAGTTGATGCACAAGTAGATTTTTTCACCCTAAAAAACTGTGGGATACACTGAAAATCGCTCCTCTGCAGCTCTGAAATTGCCAAGCTCACATAATACTGAGCTTCTCATCACTGTTATTACGGAAAGCATGAAGCGGAACAGTTCCTGAAAAATAAGAAAGCAGCGAGACATTTCCTGGGAAAGGTTTTCGCTTTGGAAAGTAGCTACTGGCCTGTGGGAAGTGTGGGAAGGCAGCCTTTCGTTTTGAGTCACAACGGCCTCATGCTGGCAGGTGTGCTGCAGGCAGCCAAACAGCATTATTTAACTGGATCGTAAAGTTCATGGATTTAATTGCAAGGCTGCAGAGGAAGGGCACAGCGCCATGGCAAAGAAATCTTGGTTTAGGTGCAAATTTGTAAGTCTCAGTGGCAAGAGGAACCCACTTCGTCCCTTGCTTGGTACAGAGCATGGACTTGATGCTGTCCCCCTTTCACCACTTTGCTCGCTCATCTACCTGCTGCTCCTTGTCGCCCACGGTGAACAGGTGAGTCTTTAATGGTTTTCTTAATCTATTTGATATCGGGGCACATTTCTAACTGAGATGTTTGGACAAACTGTGGGGTGGGAGAAGATAGTTTTGTTTCATCTCTGAGTCCCCAAGTAGCATCTTATTTATGCAAAACATTTCTATCCCATCCTTTGCCCGAGCCTCAGGACGGCTTACCAAAAAACCAGCCAACGATATAAAACACAATGAAAACATCCAATATAAGCAATTTTACAAACAATGATAGCAATTCAAAAATAAAGGAAGGAAGGAAGGAAAAGAAAATGTGACTGTATAAAATATCCTTGATTTTGTTAAAATTATTCAGTTAGTTATAAAAATGTTGGGTAAATAGAAAGGTCTTCATCTGGCGCTGAAAAGAATAAAGAGTTGGGGTCAGGCGGACCTCTCTGGGGAGTATATTGCATTGCCTGGGTGCCACCACGGAGAAGGCCCTCCTCCGAGTCAAAACCCTCTGTACCTCCCTCAAGGAGGGTTCTCAGAGCAGGGCCTCTCCTGCAGATCTTAAGGGGCATGAGGGCATATAAGGAAGGAGACGTTCCTTCAGGTATCCTGGTCCCAAGTCGTTTAGGGCTTTATAGGTCAAAACGAGCACCTTGAATTGGGCCCGGACTTCCATTGGGAGCCAGTGTAGCTGGCAGAGGACCGGCGTTCTATGAGAACAATGATCGGCCCCTGTAAGCAACCTGGCAGCTCTGTTTTGTACCGACTGAAGTACCTGAATCTTGCCAACAGCACCTTCCCCAAGCTGGAGCTAAGTCAACGCAACAGCAGCTGCTTGAAAACCTTTGTTAGAGCGCATCATGCAGCGCGGGGAATGTTAAAACGCGGCAGCGCATCGCGTATCCGCTCACCTGGTCACGGCTGTCCTTGACGAACGAAATGTTGGCAGTGGGAAAGGAGCACAGCTCCGGTCCCGGCAGGCCGCAGTCTGTCCTGAAAAAGGACAAAGGTTGCCCCCAGAAAGATCACAACGAGAATACGAAGAGCCACAAAGATCACAGACACAACGCAAGTAACAGCGGGCGCCATCCAGTTTCCCATGGAGGCCGGGGAGCCCCCCATGTGAAAGCCGTTTCCCGCCTCGGTTTCCCCCGGAGACTGGGTGGGATGCTGCCAGCCATGGGAGACCCGGCAGCCGTTGCCTCCAGAAAAATGAGTCCGGCTGGCTTGGACTAGCGGCTTGGCTAGTCCAACATGGCCGTGGGGGCCAAGGTCACATACAAGCCGTCTGCTTCTCACACCTACCGGTCGCCTGACAGCCAGCACTCCCTGGGAAGGCGTCCAGCCAGGGTTCAAGCCAAAGAAGTTCAAAACCCAGTCAGTGAGTGGAGCCACTTAAAGCCAGCAGAGTTTTGTAGGTGTAAACCAAAGTAAAAACAAACAAACTCGGTAGCAGAAGCGCTACAATCTATTTTTTTTTTAAATTTTCATGCTTTCAACGGCTAGGACCTTAATACATCTGGTAGACCTTCTCCATCAGCTGGTAACGTTCTTCCATACGGTCATTCAAGCAAATTTTGCATGAAAAAACCCACCCTTTTCTGTCCATTTAATCTCCTGCCACTCCATGAAACTGGGTGACAGGAAAACCCAAATATTATGACAGAGGAGAGGGGTACGGAAGACTATTTCCCCATCCATTTTTCCCCACGCTAGCCGTCCACAATATGGCACCCTTCCTATTTTGGACTACAACACCCATCTGCCCAACCAACAGTGGCCAACAGCCAAGGAGTTGTCCCCCAACATTTCTAGAACACACCAGGTTGAAGAAGAAAGATTTAAACCATGCATCAGTTGAAACCTTGACAGCAAAACCCCCCCCCTTACCCTCCTCCTAAATATAAAAAGCCTCAAACTTCCTTGTAGGGGTTTCAGTCCCTTCTTATCAATTTTATTACCCTTTCTTCACATATACAAATACACAGAAGAAAATGTAGAATAGAAAAAAAGCTAATATAAACAGAACGGACTAAAGTGAGCAAAACAAGCAAAGTTGCCAAGAGAATTATAAACAAATACGGCCTATGTATTGCAACCTCCAAACCCGACTCTCTTCACATCTTCCCACACTCTCAAGAAGAAAAAACATTATTCTTTTAGTTTTAGTAGCCTTTCTTCTTGAAAGATGGAAAATCCACCCCCAGAATTCTAGTTTTGATAGTCCAACATGATCTTTGGTCCTGGGAACACATCAGCGAAACGTGGGCTTTAATTCTCAGCAAGGAGATAAACTTATGTTTGGGTGAGACAGCCGCTCAGGCTTACTTGCCCCCTCCATACAAAAACCACCAAGAGAAAATCCCCGCAGTAGACAACTAGCATCTCAGGGTTCTGGAGCCCAGATTTCCTCCTGACACTACACAACAGACCAAGTTTTCCATCTTCAAGGCATCATAATTTTGCATGGAGGCACATTCAGGGGCTGACACCTCCCCCTGCAGTTGGAAGGGATACGATCCTGGCAACAGTTAACTGACCACCTCTGAAAGAACTACAACTCTTCTGTGTTTAGAGGAGAGGACCAGATGCAGCGGTACAGTCCTCACTTTGCATGGACAAAGTCCAGGCTTCAGTCCCCGGCTTCTCCAGTTAAAAGTGTTCGGGGGCCACGTGGTCCCAAGCTCCCAGTCCCAGAACATCTTCCTTGCCTTCTCTCCATTAACTGCCGGCCCGAGCCGGTGCCCTTTCGGATCCGCCTGGGCCGGATCTCCGCCTCTGGCGAGACCAAAACCCCGAGGCCAAAACACGGAGGTGGCAGGACCACACCTAAAGCAGGAACCCCGTGGGTGGCCTCCTCTCGGGGCAGACAACTCACAACTCACACAACACCCTCTCAACCATCCTCGGTTAGCAAAATCCCCTTTGGCGCAGAGAGAGGAACATGTACTTCCAGTGGTGAAACATTTCGCAAAAAATTCACTAAAAGGATGCTTGGGAATCCGAACTCCAGACCACATGCTCTGATCACGTCCTGAGACCTTGGTAGTGGACTTTATTTAAAAAGTTCTAAATAAATCACAGACTATGGCAATAAATCGGCTGGATTTAAATTTTTAAAAGGAAAATATTGAGAAAACTGCAAGTTTATAGTTCAACCCTTTGAATACTTAGAAGGCGGTCCCACGATATTCGGGAATCCATATTCCCTAATGTATGACGACTTCAGCCTAAGAGAAAAACCCCTTTTTCCTCACATTCAGGTGAGAATATTTCCCCCAGAAATCACAGAATTCCCCAGAATCACCAGGCACACAAAGCAGTGTGTATATTGCAACCCTTGTCTATTTTACTTCCCATGAAAACATAAGCAATCAAGCCCAGATAAAACTTTAACTCCGGATGCTACAGCTGAAGGAGAGCATCAGACCTGGAGGTGTCCAGGATGCATCCCATGGGGAGCAGAAACAAAATCACACAAGGAAAGTTCGAAAGAGGTTGGGATGCTTAGGTTGAAGAGATGACACAATTGCATTTTTCACATTTTGAACTGCTGGCATATAGAATGGAAGGTGGGCAAACCTCGGGGTTGTGGGATTTCTGTCCAGGCTGGACTCTGTGCAAAAGCCGTGCACCCAGAGAGGAAGGAATTCCAAGCCCAGGAATCCGCCTGGAGTCCCAAATCTGAACAAAGTTCACAACCCTTCCACCCCAAACTCTGCTCCAGTTTAACCTAACTTGCTTGATTTCTGTGGTTTCATTTAAGGCAGATGTCTGGAGTCATTCTCTGAGGGGATTCCTGAACAACTGGGGGTCAGGAATCCTTGCCAAACTATGGCGAACGAGCCAAAGACCCTCTGCCTGCCCACCCCGAAGGATGAAGAGCCAACTCTTCTCTGGCTCTGCAGAAGCCTCCCTAACCCAGCACCTGCCCAAGGTGCAATACTGCAAGGCTCAGCTTCCCCAGCAGCAGGTTTCTTATGGGGGCTGGATGTTGCGCTGAGACTCCCCTGGCAGGCATCAGGGTGGGGAAGGGCTTCTCTGAAGGGCAGGCTGCAAGGACAAGGAAGGGAATTTGAGAGAAGCAGTAAAAACCACCGACTGATGGTACAAAGTTTGGATGGGGAACAGACCGTACCAGAAGGGGTCTTTGCAAAGAGGCTCGGCGGTGGCGTAGCATCCTGTTTCCTGCATTATAAGTGGGTTGGACTAGATGACCTCTGAGGTTCCCTTTCCTTCTACCATGCCAAGATTAGTCACCTAGGATCACTTGAAATCCAGCAACTATCTCTGAGAAAATGCTTTAGAAACATAGAAACAGAGCAAGTCAGAAGGGGCCTCCTGAGCCATCTAGTCTGACCTCCGGCTCCTGCTGGTTCCACTATAGAAACATAGCTTTCTTACAATGAACTCAAATGGCTTACATCATTTCTCTCCCCCTGCTCTTGGTCTTATCCCCACAACACCAACCCTGTGAGGTAGGCTGGGCTGAGAGTCTGAGACTGGCCCAGTCACCCTGCTGGCTCCATGACTGAGCGGGAAGTAGAACCCAGATCGCCCGAGTCCCAGCCCCTCTCTCTCGACCACGACATCACACTGGCTCTCACCAACTCCAAGTCATATTCACCAGCAGAGTGGGAGATTTGGGACACGTGGACTAAAGTTGTCCTAGGCCTGATGCCCCCTCTGTGCCTCTTTCCCCACCTCCAAAGCACCAGTTTATCTGTGCAGTTTTAAAACAAGCAGATGACGACAGAGATGCTGCTGAGTATCCAAAACTGTCCTGGCTGCTTGAAAGCTCAGGACCCGCAAAGCAGCAGCACACGCTTTGGGAGTTCCAACGCGAGGGAGCCACCACCAAGCAGCCTCTCTTCCCCAGCAACCCACCCACCCACTTCCAGCAGGGGGAGAACCCGAAAGATCGCTCAAGGGAGCAAGGGCGGCTTCTCCCGCCCCGTCCACCCACGCGGCAACTGACCTGAAGTGATAATGAACCGGGCTGACGTAGCTGACCGTAGGCATGTAGGAATAATAGAAGCTGCCATAAAGGAAGATCGAGATCCAAAGCAGCAGCAGCAGCACGCAGAGCAAAATGGCCGTCTGCAGGACGGTCCGGCGCACCCGCAGCATCAGCAGCGCCGCCACTTCCTGGGCCCACACCAGGAAGGGCCCGGCGTTCCCCGACATGGTGCCGGCAGAAGGCAACACAAAACTCTAGAGGACCGATGGCGGGGAGAATACACCGAGCAGCAAGATTCCTTGCGATGGCACTGGGAGAAATCTGGAAGGGCAGCAGCGGCTCCTTGCGCAATGAGGAGGCTAGTAAAAAAAGGCGCCTTGAACCTAGTTGGAGAGAAACCAGGCCTCCCACTCAGCGAAGAGAGACAGGCTCCGGCTTCGCCAGCCGCCCCATCTGCGCCTTCTGGCTTTCCGAAGGCTCTTCGCACCCATGGGAGAGACGGCCACCCAGGGAATCAGTCGCTCCAGAACATGGCGAGTAACAGGCCACGGAGTCTAGCACTCCGTTCTCCTGGGAATCCGAAAGTCTGCAGTTTCGGCAGCACCGCAAGCTGGAGGGGACACAGAGAGAACAAAACCAGAGTTAGTACCGTCTTTATCATGTTGAAGCCAGACTGCAGAACCACGAGAGGGGGGCATTCTATTTTGCTTGGGGGTCACTGCCTCCCAAAATGGTGTGGGATGCACCCCATCGGTGCCTCTCTAATGGGAGCAGGCAAAAAGTTGTTTTGTTTTCACCGCTGTGTGAGTTCAGCCATGCTACTGGGGGCCACAGAAGCAGCTGTGGCAACTGCAAATAGTGGGAAGGGAACCAGCGCAAGCACAAAAGGGTTAAAATAGTGCCACTGATCCAGTGAATTATGGAAGAACTCTGGACATATAAATCTCAAGCAGGATGTGGGATGGAATGTAGAACTGCAACTTCCACTTCTCCAGTCTGGTCATTTAAATGGGGAGAGCCAATTTATTTTAAAGCCATTTGTGCTTTAAAATAAAATAAAAATAAAAACTGTATGGGCCCATGGGTTGAGATCCATGCCTAGCACTGCCCCCTATGGGCAATTGTAATCACTAAAAAGGCTTTTTAAAAACTTATAATTTTAAGCAGCAAGATGCACAGCACTCTTAAACATAATCAAGTCCCATTTCACAGCTAGGCACCAAAGATGCAACAGGAGTGCACCACCTTGGCACTGGCCAGGCAAATAAGCATGAAAACAAACACACTGCTTGCCTTCGTCAACGGAGAATCAGAAGTTTTCTACTGGATTTCTGCTGAACTGATCTACCGCTTTTCAGCCAGGGCCCCAACCATCTCCACTCAGAGGTTTCAGGCACACAGAAGGATCAAGACTGAACAATGCTTTGGACCTTGGAGAAGAACACACAGAGAGCGTAGTAACTCGACATTAAAATGTTAAAGTTTATACCCACCCACTGCAAAGCACTGCATCTAGTTTAGACGCTGGCCAGAACTACATTAAACATTAAATTAAAGAATTTAATTAAAGAATACACACAACTGGAACTAGCAAGGCTCTCGACTTTCCCTGCTACACACACACACGCAGGTGAAGGAAAATAGAAAAGGGAAAATAGAAAATAGATGCATATTTGATAGCAAGAGTGGAGGAAGTTTCTGCACTGGGTTCCAGTCTCACCTTGAGGTTTTTGGGGGGTTTTGGGGGTTTTTTTGGTGGGGGGAGGAGAGAACACTCCCAATACCTGAATTCCATCTCAACTTAACAAGGGAGAACCACCTGTGGAGAGGTAGACCACACACACCTGGACACCGCAGAGTCATGCAGAGGGGATGCGGCAGGAGTCGGGGTCCTGGGCTCCGCATGAGGGGGAAAGAGAGCCGGGTGGGACGACTTCCACGTCCCAAAATGAGCCTGGGAAGCACAGAGCTAGGAAGTCGGACGCCTGGGTCCCGGCCACCCCCGGCGCAGCCGCTAGACACCTGGGTCGTAGCCACAGCGAGGAGGCAAGCAGCTAATGAAGATACCTGGACACCTGGGTCTCAGCAACGACGGGGAGGGGGCCGGCTAACTGGACGCCCGGGTCCCAGCCACAACTGGAGGTGCGCGGGAATGAAAATGAGGACACCTGAGCGGTCTCCAGCGCCGGCTGAGCAGCTGCCCGCCACCCCTCCCCTCTCGCGTCTTCTGCCTCTCCAAAAATGTGGCTCTGCCCCTTCCGGGTTTAGCTCCGCCTTCGCAGCCCTTCGGAAAGGAGGGGGGAGGCGGGCCTCTTTTGAAGCTGCTGCTGCTGCGGCGGCGAGCATCGTCCCGTCACGTGGCCGGAGGGATGCAGCCGCCGCCGCCTGCCTCCCGTTCCCATGGCGACCGGGCAGGAGTCGGAGGAGGGGACCACCCCGGGCGCCGGCGAAGGGGCTCCTGCGCCTTCTCCTCCTCGCTCTCCCCCGCAACCCTAAGGGGTGCCGAGGGGAGAGGGCTCCTTTTTCTCCCCCTCCACCCCCCAGTTGTGGGAGGAGCTGGAAGGGAGCGGGCGGCTAGGACTCCTGGGTCCTTTCCCACGGATGTGGGAAGGGCCGGACTGCCTTCTGGAAGGGTGGCTCTGTATCTGGCCGTATTTCCCCCCTCTTCCTTCAAACAGCCTGGGCAGCACGCTTCTGTGTTCATTTGTTAGCCCGTCTTTCGGTCCCTGACGTGGCTGCCATAGTGGAAAACCCAAATCTGAACCAGAAGAAAACATGCGATTGAAAGCACAATGATAAACAGACCCATAAAATGAACAGCTTTGCAACCCGTCTCAGCAGAAGACCAGTTTCTACACCGAAGGCCTGCCAGAATGAAAATGTGTTTGCCTGCCCACGAAGGACAATAGAATATATAACGAATCAACACCTGTTTACACATACAATAATCCTGCAAGGTGGGTCAGGACTGAAAGGATGTGGAACTTCACCAGTGGGACTTCATGGCTTGGCGGGATTTCTAGCCTGAATTTCCCACATCCAAGGCTTACACGTCTGTAAGCCAGCAGTAGGTGAGCAAGAGGTGTGTACATACACACAACCAGCAAATAACCTTTCACAATATCTCTCTCTGCTTGGAAGCTCCTTTCTCCAGTGCACAGAACATGGCTGAACTGGTAGCCAGCCATGCTCGGTCCCAAAATGCTTTCATCCTGGGAGCCAAACTGATGAAATTAGAAAGTGGCATTGCCAGGTACCTATTTCCAAGGAAGTGGTGAGATCTGGGCTCCGAAGTCACTAAATCTCCTGTACCCAAATGCAGATAGTACCTAATAGCACCAGCTCACTTAGCAGCGTACCAAGCCCTCAATTAATCTGAAGAACATCTTAAGGAATAAAATAAAAACCAGGAAAGGTTTTTATTCTGTGTGTGTGGGGGGGTGGAATTAAGGTTAAAGTTGGGCCTTTTCTGTGGTGGCCCCCAAACTATGGAATAATCTCCCCAATGAGTCCTGCCTGACCCCCACTCTATTCTTTTTCCAGCACCAGGTTAAGATTATCCCCCACGCTGAGGCATTGACCAACTCCAAGGATCATGTGGGGGTGGGCAGGGAGGGGGGAGGATTGCCAGCAGCAGGAACTGGTTTCAGCTGCTCAGTTGTAAAGACGTAGTTTTAAATACAGCTTTTGTTTATTAATGTCATTTTAGGATCTTTGGTTGCTTGAATCTATATTGTACTTTTGTATATTTATTGTGGCCGCTTGCCACCCAGAGAGCTTCGGCTAGGGCCAGGGATAGAAATTAAATACCGGAATCGGTAAGACGGACGTCGGCCTCTTCCTGGCTTAAAGACGACTTGGAGCAAGCCAGGATGCAAGCTTTGGGCTCGCAAAGAACGCTTCGTCACGCAGACCTGAGAGGCCGCTGTCGGTGGGCTGCGGGAGGGTGTCTCTTTCCGTTTTGGGGACTGGCTGGCACCCATCGCAGGAAAGAGAGCTGGGCAGGGGCTTGCTTCCCACCTGCCGCCCGTGCACAGGGGTGGGGTGGTCCATTTGGGGAGGATTTGCCAGCAGGGGAAGGAAGTAGCGCATTGATGTCAGATTTCCAAATGAAAGCAAGCCTCCTGCAACAGCGGTGGTGCAGCATCTTCCAGGAGCCCATACCACTACCTGCACGGGGGGAGCACAGGCCCACAGACCCTTCCTTGAGCTCCGCATTCCCACACTCCCCCCTTAGGACGCAGCCTCCCTCAATAAGGGTGCGCACCCACCACCCCAAAGGCCACCCGAGCTTTCCCATCCGGAGAAGCGGCAGGCTTTTGGGAGAAGCCCGTCCGGGCGTGGGTACCTTCCCTCCCCTCCCACCCCTGCCGTAGAGATGGTTTGGTCCCAGCCTTCAGTGGCCTGAGAGCATCCTTCTTGGCTATTGAATTAAGGGAAAGGTGAGCAGAGCAATTGCAGGGGCGACTCCAACCTGGTTGGGGAGGAAGAGGAGGACAGGATCGCACTTCAGCAGGGAGGTGCTGCCAGACTCCCCCCCCCGCTTCCTCCCTCTGCCACCCAACATCAGCTGGGGGGGGTCTCCCTCACTCTGGGTCCTCTGGCCATTTCCTTCCTCGTCTCTTGCAAGAGAACACAGACAAGGTTTGTACTGGGGGAAGAAGCCGGCATCCACCTGGATTTAACTGGGTGGGTCGATGGGGCCATATTCTGCCCCTCCCCACAGAACGCAGTAACACCAAGGGCAGGCATTGGGTCTGGGGTAGTGCTGGGTGTTTCCACTGGAGCTGGGGCAGGGGGACTCCTGGATTTCCTGGCTGGCTTGGGGGGAGATGGAAACGAGAAAGGGGGTCTTGAGCAGCGACGCTCAAAGCAGTTCTTTTTTTCTTCCTCTATTCCAGCCATCATCAGCTCTTCCAGGAGTGGGGTGGGGTAGCAGAAGTGCTTGTGTGAGATTGTGCATGTCCGTCCATCCTTTGCTTTGGTTCTGTCATATCGTGTCTCCTGTTTGCCCTGTCAGGTTGTGTGTGTGTGTGTGTGTGTGTGTGTGTGTGTGTGTGTGTGTGTGTTTTTCCTGGCAGGGAAAGAGAAGGAAATTGCAGGAAGATGGGAAAGGGTGGAACTGGGAAAATTCAGCAGTGGCCTTCCAGTGTGGGTGTTATTCCTGTACAAAGCAGACCTGAAGCTTGGGGGTGGGGGGGGGACTTCTTTGCCTAGACCAGGTTCCCCAACCTGATGCTGTCCAGAGAAGTTGGACTACAAATCCCATGGGGAAAAGGCCTATGAATTAAAGCCCTCCAGAATCTCCTGTCCCAAGTTCAAGGCTGTGGGTCCTTGTATTGAATTGATCTATCTTGTATCTTGTCTTTCCTTTTATCTTTGACTTTCCCTAATATGATTGTCTTTGAGAAGTGGCTTCAACCTAAGGTCGATCTGTTCATTAAGGCCCAGGCATCTTAAACTGGAATCGGAAGCCTCAGATGTTCTCTTGGATAAGGCGATTCATGGGGAAGAGTAAGGGGAGCCAAGATTGAGGGTGTTTAAAATAATGCATGGTGTGGAGGAAATGGCCACAGGTTTTATTCTCTCTCCCATAACACTCAAATGCAGGATCATGCCCTGAAGCTGATGGGGGGAGGTTTAGGGCAGATGAAAGGGTTAGGGTTAGGGTTGCTGCCATGGGAAATGGAGATGGCAGCCGATTTACAAGAGGTTTGGCATTTCATTGAAGAAGAGGCTTTTCTTCTTCTTTTTTGTGGTTACTAGCCTTAGAAACATAGAAACATGAGAGTCAGAAGCAGTCAGAAGGAGTCTCCTGGGCCATCTAGTCTGACCCCTGGCTCCAGCTGGCTCCTGGCTGGCCATTGGCTGCCTCCTTCGTCAGCGGTGGCTTGTCTGCACATGGCAGTTGCTGAGGAGCTGGACGGGTCTTGCACCCATCCTGCTGGATGGATCCTGTGGGCAGCTGGTTTGCCATGCATGTACAGAGTGCCAGACTAGATGGGTCTAAGCCAGCAGGACTTTATGTTCTGTTCTCCCTGTATTAGCTTTACCATCCATTTTGCTGCAAGCAGGGAATGTCCTTGTGTTCATTTGCATTCTAACAACCCTCTTCTAAAGTAGAAAGATCTGCTGTTTGTCGTCTTGCTACAACTGTGGAACCCCTTTGGAAACCAGCTGGTTAATATCTCCAAAGGGGGAGAGAGAGCCGGAAACAGAGGTGCCACTGATCTGTGGAAGTTAATTTTGCATGGGAGACATTTGGTCCCTCACGAATTGGAGCTCGGCTTTGCAAGGGATGAAACGCCCTGTTGTGGGAAGCGAGGGTGCAGCCGCCTCGGCAGCCCTTCTGTGTTTGTACCTGATGGTGCTTTGCCCCTTGCAGGATCCTCATGAAGGGCGAGACTCCAGTAAACAGCACCATGAGCATCGGACAAGCCCGCAAAATGGTGGAGCAGCTCAAGATCGAAGCCAGCATGTGCCGAATAAAGGTGGGGACGAGTTAAACGTGGCTGCAGGGAATGCACTGGACCAGCCTCCCCTGGCTGGAATACGGCTCCCATCACCCACACCTGGGGGATGATAGGAACCATAATCCAGCAGACACAACCGGCGCCGGGTGGCGGGAATGTTGTTTATTCAGAAGCAAGCCCTTGCTGACTTCAATGGCGCTTCAGTTAAAACTTTCCCCCATTTCATTCCTTGGTGGCAGACGGTTCCTTTTTATGTATTCCGCTGGGGGGCTGGTCAGCTTCCTTACCCACAGCTGGAATTATTTCGGGAATGCCAGATTGGGCTGGACACAACCTGGAACATCCTTGTTTTTTGGCAAGGGCAGATCTCCCGGCTGTTAGAGAAAGATACGCTCATGCAACCGTGCTTCATAGATGTATAGATGTGTCAGTGGCCGGCTGAGCTGGACCTTAGAGTTTAAAAAGCAGACCAGCCCTGAGCCAAGCCAAAGCAGCAAAGCAAAAGCGGGTAAAGTAAATTTTAAATCCCGCGTGTGTCACGCTGGTTGTACTTGTGAAAGCAACCAGGACTCTTTAACAAGGAATCCCCGTTCAGGGAGTACGCGAGGAACGGCTTTCCCCTCTGCGGAAATTCAGAGCCGGGGTGGGTGTCTGGTGGCCTTCAGATTTTGAAAGCCCTCTGCCAGCTGCCCGTTGGGGCTTCTGGCAGGATCGGCCTGTCCCTCCGGCAGCAGCCTGCAGAGATACGGAACGAGGCACGATGGAAAAGCAGATGGCAAGGAGAGCCCATCCTGTGCCGTCCTGTTTTCCAGACATGGCATCTTTATCCCAAGACGGAATTTTGGTCGATTGTCCACCAAGGTTGCATCAATGTCAAGGCACTTTTGCAAACACACAAAATTGCCAGAATCCCCTGAAGGCTTGCCGTAAATTTGAGGCATCCATGCAACTCGGGGCTGCTGGGAGTTTGCAGAAATTTGCCTATTCCAGAAATATTCTAGAAATCTCCCAATTTCCCATGAGCTGGGCATTTGATGTCATCTGCAGGCAATGAATGGATGTCATCTGCAGGCATGGAGGGACAAGGGCTGGGCTGGGCGCCTAAGCCGGATGGATCTGGCCCTCAGTTCTCTGCCTGTGCTATGCCGGGCGTGTGCAAGGCTGAGATACGTCTGGTAGTGATCTGATGGACAGGCCCAAGGCAACAGTATGCAAATTGGGGATTGGGTACCAGCAATGGGCCAGCTGCGAATTTGGGCAGGGTCCCCGAAAGCAGTCAGAACCCCTCAGCTTCTGGAAACTTCTCCATGGCAGTTGCTGCTCTGAATCCGGCTGAGGAACCCCGCTTGGAGCGCTGCCCAATCATGGGGCGCTCAGCAAGGTGTTTCCTGGGCAAGGTGCTTACCTGTCGCATCCAGCAGGCCCTTCTGTCCAGTGCGGAAAGCTGAACGGTGAAAGGAGGTGGGCGTCTCTTCCCGGGGCAGCCGTTCTCGGGACTTCCCGGCCTCTTTCCTGCTTCGCCCGCAGGTCTCCAAGGCGGCCGCCGACCTGATGACTTACTGTGATGCCCACGCCTGCGAGGACCCGCTCATCACGCCCGTGCCCACCTCGGAGAACCCCTTCCGAGAGAAGAAGTTCTTCTGTGCCCTGCTCTGAGCTGGATTCCGCTCCCCACGCCCCACGCCCGCGGGGCTGGTGGGCACCCGGGCTGCTCCCCCCGTTCCCCACCCCAGGACCACCTCATCACCAGTTAGGGCTTGCAGCGGAGACCAAGGCTCCCCTGCAGCCAAGCTTCAGCCACTTCAGGAAGCGGAAGGGGGCATTCCCGACTCCCCCGCACAGCCCGGTCCGCTCCCCCAGCACCCAACTTCAGCCAGGGCAAGGCTGGGCAGGGGTGAGCCGAAAGGCCATCTCCAGGTACACGGGACTTCAACTCCCAGCATTCCCGGCCATGCTGGCAGGGGCTTCTGGGAGTGGAATGTCGGCACATCTGGAAAGCAACCTCCTGCCCAGCTCTTGCACTCGGACCACCGCAATTTAACAGAGCACAAGAATCCGGGTTTGGTGACGAGTGGCACGGATTCCACACGCCGTCCTTCGCGATCTGGGGAGCTCCGCTCAAGGGTGTGGGGAGAGAGAAACGAGAAGGCGGCACTCCCATGGCCCAAAATATGACCCGTCGACTCGCCCTACTGCTTGTCCGATTGTCAACAGGGCTGGTTCCACGGCAGCCCGGATGTCCACCACCTACTTCTGACCAAGCTCAGCTCCTCATCCGAGGTCCTGAGGCTCCCCCTTTTCTTCCCTTCCCCTGCCCCCCAAATTCCACCCCAGGGAAGAGCGGGGGGCTTCCTCCATCAGGCCTTAGCGGGTTCGCACAGCCCCGGCGCTCACGCTGTACCAGAGCACAGAACGAAATAAAATTAACGAGAGTTGTGCAGTGGAGTCAGTGGTTTGGGGGCCGGGAGGCGGGAGGCGGGCGCAAGCTGCCGCCGCTTTAGAGGGCCTCCGATACGAGGATTCGCCAGTCGTGTTGCCGCTGAGACACACAGGCGGCTTCAAAGCTTCCATGGCCTTCACTTGCCTTTCAAGACAGACACACAGAGGGTGCAAAGGACTGAATTTCACACACGGGCCATTTCAGGGTTTGATCCGAGACCCCCCCAGAATCAGAAAAAAATCAATTTGTGAGGCTGGGTGACAAAAACGGAGTGGCAGCACGAAGGAAAGCCAGGCATCACGGCTCCACGTTCTGCAGAGAAAGAGGTGGGCGTTTTAATACTGAATCATCAAAAACTCAGGAGCTGGAAATGTATTTCTCACTTTCAGTTCCGAGTTGGGGGGGGGTCTTCTCTAGAATCCCCTTCCCCAACCTGGAGCCCTCCAGATGTTCCATAACCGTGACCACTGCTTCAGCTGGCTGGGGCCGCTGGGAGCTGCTGTCCCAACATCTGGAGCGCAGCAGGCTGAAAAACGTTGTTAAAATGCAGTTTAAGGACTGGATAAATGCAGGTCAGAGTTCATGGTGAGACTCTGGCTAGGGGTTACTGGGAAAGCTGCTGAGCTGGTAGCTCTTTTTCGCCAGACGCACCGGTGGGGATGCAAAGGGACTCGACCCCTTTGCGTATTTCAACAGTGGATGGAAAAATACACCAGAATCACCCTGGCCGGGGTCATACTTTCACAACCCAACCCATCTTATAAAATAAATCTACATCCTTTATTGTTATTTCTGTTCACAGCAGAACTTGGCAGACGCAGAAATGCCCAGAAAATGCGAGAGCCACTGAGGGCAACACTGAAATGTCAGGTGATTTCTTCACACGTGTATAAAAAAATACTAGAAGGGCAGGAATCAGCGTTAGATGCAGAGGTGAGGTTGCTGCACATGTGTTTTAGAGAGCTTTGGTGTCTATTCTGTTGGTGCAGTGAATTCCCGCTTCTGCAGCTTAAAAAGACTAATCAGGGATCTAGTCCTGATTAAGGTTTGGAAACCTAAAAGGAGCCCTTGGGGGAAAAGGGCACCAATGATTACAGGCAGTGCTTCTGCAGTCTGCAGAACAGCTTCTCCCCCAGGACCTGCCGTGGAGTGAGGACGGAGAGGATTAATTTGCATAGTTACAATCAATCACAAAAGCCGGGCTGTTCAAATTTCCCTTAAGACTAAGACTGAGAGAAGAGCGCAAGCACAGTGCCAGGTGGTGTTGTGGTAAAGAGGGCTGGACCGGGCCTGGCCTACATCGCAGGGCTGTTGTGAGGACACAGCGGAGGCGGCATAGCCCGGGGTCCCTTGCTAGAGGAAGAAAGGTGGAATATAAATGCAATGAAACCCCTTGGAGAGGGATCTCAGCTTCTGGGGATGGGCAAAACCACACATGGCCTGGGAAGCCAGATCCAGCAGAGGGCTGGGCTGGGACCCCAGGCCGGCCAGCCTGACCTTAAGGGCCTGAGCGTAAACTCCCAAGATTTCTGAGAAAGACATGTGGCCTTCGACTGTTGAAAGGATGCCTGGAAATGGGCAAAGGAAATTCCTTTCCTTTGGCCGCACAAGATGGTGCCACGGCCCGGGGATGAAGAATGACGTGGCTTCAATTCAGGGGAACTGGACTAAAAAGAGTGGGGTGAGAGACGCTCGGACAGTGCCGGAAAGCGGAGTGTATTGTCTCGGGCATCCCGGAAAGACAACAGAGGATCTCAGCCTGGGCTGCCTCCGCGACCGTCTTGGTGTGGCCGGGAGGGCCGCATCCATCTCTGGACTCGCCGAAGCTGTGGAAAGGCCTCCAGGGGGAAGGTGGAAATGGGGCGGAGGGCTGTGGAGAGCTGGCAAGCCCTGGAGAAGCGCTGAGGAGTGTTTTCGGCCGAGCGGAGGTGCCTGGGGGGTGTCTGGCCTGAGCGAAGGGGGGAGTGTCCCCCCTATTTTCTGCGGTCCTCTGATGATTGGTCCGTGAAATGTGTGCAGTGAATATAGGGGGCAGCCCCAGACTCTGGCGTCCGGCGTGGGGGGGCTCCCTGCCACAGCCTCCTCAGAAGACTTTGATGATGGATTTGCGGGACTTTCCCACTCCGATCCACTTGACTGCAAAGCAGAGGGGGAGGGAAGAGCGTGAGGGGCCCAAACTGGCGAGGGGCCGGCCCCGCAGAGACCCTCTTTCCCCCCGAGGGCCCCAAACTCCCCGGGGCTGCAAGTCCAGTTCTGAGCAGAGCCAAAGGCGAAGAGGACGGGACCCAAAGTCCGTCCGGGTTCGGCTCCAAGCTCCTGCCGCCTTAACAAGAGCTTTGTACCTTTTGGAGGGGGGGGGGAATGGCACAGAAGCCCAGATGGGGGGTAGGATGGAGCGTGGCCCCTGGCCCTGAAGCCCCGCAACTCTGGCTTAAGGTTCCGACCTGTCCTGGGACAGGCGGCCTCCCACCTGCCGACGTCCAGGCCTCCGAGCCAGGCCCGCCAGACTCACCTGGCACCCCCAGGTAATCCTCAATGAAGCGGATGTAGCCCTGGGCCTCGGGGGGCAGGTCGGCAAAGCTGCGGGCTTCCTCGGTGCTGCACCGCCAGCCGGGGAGCACCTTGTACTGCACCACAACCTTGTTCAGGACTTCTTGGTTAGCTGCAGAGGGAAAAAAGAGCCGTTGGTTTCACAGAGCGCCTGGAAAGGGGCATCATTCCTGGGCAGCGAGGAGCCAAGGCTGAGGTGGCCCTGCAGCGCCATCTGCAGCCCGGAACATCTGGTGGACGTGGTCCAGACTGTTCGGGAGAGAAGTGAAGAGCTGTAAAGACCCGAGAAGGCTGGCCGCCCTCCCTCCCTCCCACCATGGCTTCCCTCCACTCCCTGCCTGGAATGTCACCTGGGAAGTAGGGAATCCGCTTCTCGTCCAGCCGGTACTCCACGCCCACTTTGATCTCCTCAAAAGTGTCCAGGATATCTAGTTTGGTCACGGCGAGGCTGCGAAGCGAAGCAGGGGATGGAGATGAGGGGATTGGGAGCATCCACAAGGGTTGAACATGAAATGGGGAATAACATTCCTGGGAACGGCTGTCCTCGAGTCGTGGAATCCAGAGATGCAGCATCCACACATCATGGTGAATGCCAGGAAACCCAGCTTAGTAAAACCACACTGGGCTGGTTTGTACAGAACCACAGGCCAGAAACGTCACACGAACTAGGACTGCCGGATTACAATGGTACCTCAGCTCGCGAACTTAATCCGTTCCGTGACTCTGGTTGCTCCCTGAATTGGTCACGAGCCAAGTCAAATTCCCCCATAAGGTTCAATGTAATCTGCTCCGTAGATAATTTTTTAATCACGGGGACGAAGGGCGCAATCGCAGGTGCGCTTGAGGGTGGGGAGGTGGCCGCGATCGCCACCCAATGTGGGGTTTGTGCCCTGGGTGAAAATTTTTCTGAAATTTCTGTTCGCAACCCAATTTGGTCGTGAACTGAGACATTCATGAGCCAAGGAACCACTGTATTTCTGCTTGGTTGGACAAACCCGGAAACCTCCAACTCTGGTTTATTTGACCCTGACAAGCCAGAAACCTAAAGCAGGGTTGTTCACGGCTTATTACTCTGGCTGTTCGTGAAAGCAACAAGCCAAAATAACGATTTGCTGTGTGCATTGTTCTGCACAAATGGGCTTAATGGGAGCCAATCTCGTTGCTTTTCTATTCCCGTGAGCAGGTAACCCAACGAGGCAGAGACGGCATTGCCAATCAGGATTAAAGTGTACCCAAACAAACCAGCTTTGTTAAGCCTGGGCAGCTTGAGTTTTTGCTTAAAATTAGCAAGCTTCGAAAGAACAGTATAGTCTTGCAAACCACAGCTTGAAAGTACAACTTACAACCTTAAAGCCACGTTCTTAACAGCTAGGCTGGAGCTGAACAGACTTAGATATTTTCAGGAACAGAGAAGTAAAGCCCAGTCTGGGTGAGATTATGCCCTGGGAGGGGGGCAGGAGAGGCTTACGCGCTGAAACCGTTGATCATGTGGGCATATTTCACCAGCACAAGATCCAGCCAGCCGCAGCGGCGCTTCCGCCCGGTGGTGACGCCGAATTCCCGGCCCCGTGACTGCAGCTGCTCCCCGATCTCCTGCCAAACGACACAGAAAGGAAATTGTTGCAACGGCTTGCAAAGTACCCGACCGGCACCCAAAGGCTTTCCAGCTGGGCCCTCGACTGGCAGAAATGGGCCAAAATTCTCTGCATAACCCACGCTCCCCATGACATCAAAGCTTCGTGTGTGTCTAGGAGAGGACTGGCGGTGTGTTTCCGGGCACTGAAGGCAGAGAGGGAGGAGCCAAAGGCAAGAGAGGCGTGGCCACACAGACCAGCATCTTGGTAGCTTAAAGCTTGGTGGCATATTTACATATTTAGTTAGTTATTTAAAGTTTTTATATGCCGGCCCAATACTAAAAGTCTGGGCAGCTTACAAAAAACAACAAAAAAAAAACTATAACAATAACAACACTGTGTCCAATAAATGAGGATAAAAACAGGGATAAAACCAATTTGCTGTTAAAATGTTGGGAAAATAAAAAGGTCTTTACCTGATGCCAAAAAGAATAAAGTGATGGCGCCAGGTGAACCTCCCTGGGGAGCGTGTTCCAAAGTTGGGGTGCCACCACCAAAAAGGCCCTTCTCTGGGTAGCCACCCTCCTGATCTCCTTCAAGGAGGGCTCCCGGAGATGGGCCTCTGCCTCAGATCTCAAGGGGTGGGCTGGCACGTAGGGAAGTTGGTGCTCCTTCGGGTATTTGGAGCATTTTCAAAGGGAAGTGGGGTGGAGGAAGCAGCCATGCCCCCACCAGGGAACCGGGGCTGGGGGAAATGGCACTGAAGGAACGCCCCCCTAAATAAATGATGCCCAAGGGCTGCACGGGCCAGACGGCACGGGACTCCCCACCCCGGGAGAGAGACTCACGTCGTTCTGCTCGGTGGGGAAGGTGCCAACGCCCACGCGGGTGGTGTAAGCTTTCAACACGCCGTAGACCTTGCCGATGCAGTGCGGCGGGATGCCGAGGCCGGTGCAGACACCTCCCACAGTGCAGTTGGAGGAAGTCACGAACGGGTAGGTTCCTTGGGAATTCGGGAGAAAGACAGCGGCTCCAGGCAGGATCGTGGGAGCAGTCCAAGGCGCCGGGGGGGGGGCAGCTGAGGGTCACTGCCTTGCAGGCGGAAGGTCCCAGTTTTGACCCCCCAGCATGAACCCTTAGTTAGACTAGCCTGCCATCTAGATATTTTCGACCATTCCCTGCAATCTTGCTTCTTTTATTTGCATTTTTCGGCATGTCGGTTTCGGTCGAAAGGCGGCACTCACCAAAATCTATGTCCAACAGGGCAGCGTTGGCTCCTTCAACCAGTATCTTCTTGGGTGGACCGTGGAGGGCTTTGTACATGAAATACACACCATCTTTCACCAACGGGCGGATTTTCTCGGCATAGATCTGACAATCAGTATTATTATTGTTATTACGACATTACATTAAGCCGAAGCTCTCTGGGCGGTTCACAGCCTTTAAGTCACCCATCCGGATTTTCACCGGGCCTGGCCCTGCTTAGCTTCCAAGACTGGGCAGGATCAGGCCCCTCAGGCTATACGGAGGCTTAATCATCATAGTTCGAGGCTCAGAAGGTGGCAAGCTAAGAATCTTTGACTTCCATGGGGGAAAGAAATTCTAGGTCTTGTAGATGGGCCCCTGGGAAAGATACTGAATTGGACAAGCCACGTTTTCAGAGCAAGCGGCCCAATTTGAACATCTTTCTTTTCGTCTGGATTGGAAATGCGGAGGTTTGCTTTCCATCCTGCTTCCAGAGACACTAGCAACGGAAACGCCAAATGGACAGCAACCAGGTTGCCTTAAACTGGCCGTCTGCATTTCTGGAGCGTCTGACTAAACCTGTGTTTCCCGATTTGCACGCACGTCTGTGTGTGCAAACGAGTCCATGTGTGCTCTGTATGTACACGCATCTGTTCCTCACCTTTAGCTGCTGCAGCTCGGCTTCCGTGTCAATGGTGAGAGCTGGATATGTGGTTTTGTACTGCTGAGCCAGGACCCTAAACCTAAGGAAGACGGGGAGGGTTACGGCTGCTGAGAAAGCGAAAACAGAGTTGTCACTGCTTCCTAGGGAAGGGGCCATGACAGAAGAGGCCTTGTCCCTGGCACAGCCTTTACTGGTGGATCAGAAGGGCAGGGCCTCCGATCCTTCCCACCTCACCCAAACATCAACTCACTTCTTGGAAAACTCATTGAAATCAGCCAGCAGGTCGCAGATGCGCAGGCCGGTTCGGGAGGCCTTTGAGGAGTAGGCGGGCCCAATCCCCTTTTTAGTGGTGCCGAGGCTGCAAGCAAGGGGGAAACGCAGAGACCAAACAGTGCCCAAAAGTGACTCAAATCAGACTTATACCAGAAGTAAGAATTCCTGCCCTCTACCACCGACTGCTCTCCTGCTTGCAGGTCCATCTGCAACCTCATGGATTCCTTAACTACGGAGCCATACACACTCCTGGGACCTCCCTCACCCCAAACCACCAGCCCTGAGAGAGGAAGTCGGGCAAGGTCGCCAACAGACCCCTGAGTTCTGCTTACTTTTGCCCGGCCTGCTGCTGCCGTTGCTGCTCTTGGATTCCATCCACAGCTTGGTGGAAATTGAACACTGGTTGGAAGAAAAGGGGAAAGACGTCAGTGCTTCCCCAGCAATCTCTCCCGCTACTCAACCAATTCCTCCCAGTCCTCAGAGAAGGGGAATCTAAGACTCACCCAGATGGGCACGGTCGGAAATCACCGTCCGAGACTCCCAGCCTTCCAGACCTAAGGAAGCAGCACAGGTAGAGGCTTGGAAATGGCCTTCACCAATGTCCTCCATACCAAAACGCGGGGTCAGACTAGATGACCTCTGGAAGCCCCCTTCCAGATCGTCGCAGAAGAGGGGAAGGTCACTCACCTGGCCCTTTCTTCAGGTTCTTCTCAGCCTCTTCAAAGAGGCCAGGCAAGTGGATGACGACACCGTTTCCTGAGCGGAAAAAGCATGGATGAAGCCAAAGCATCCGTCGGGAAAGGTGGGCAGAGGAAGGGGGCAAGCCCTATATGTACATACTTTGATTTGGGGTAACAGGTAGAGGAGGGACAGGCATGTAGCCCCAGCCACCTTAAGGAATCTAGTGACAGACACCTCGGGATGTGGTTTTTATCTGTTTTGTGCTCTGCAAAGCTAACCCAGCCATTTCTTTTAAAAAATAATATTTTCACGCAGCCCGCGGGGTCATCTACGGTAGAGGAAGGTCCCGGACGGGGTAAAGGAGGTAGGGGAAGAGAGAAGGAGGTAGGCGAAGAGAGAATACCAAGCGCTAAAGCTGTGGAAGCACGCAAGGGCTCTCACCAATGAACGACGTGGCACTGTGGTTGATCACCCCGCTGGGCAACAGGTGGAAATTGTACTCGACTGAATCCACCACAACGGTGTGTCCGGCATTATTGCCCCCCTGCAAAGAGAGGCACAATCCTAAAGCCACGGGGTGGCTGCAGGTTTGTAGGATTGGCTTGGTTTCCCACAAGTTCCAGCCACCTAAGCCCTGGGCAAAAAAACAGCATCTCAGGAAGGCCAGCAAAGAACCGCAGGCCAAGGGGTGCCCAGCTCCCGGAGTCGTTTTCGGTCCCGGAACTAGGCCAAATCCTTTCATGCACAAATCGGCTTTCTTGATTCCAGCACTCCAGCTTTAGAGAAATAAAGGCCTTTTGTTGTCAGCCTCTGAAAACTCTTGCTGAGTAACTGCAAACCACATGGAAATGTGGTCTGAGCAACATGGGACTTGCTCCTGGGTAACCTTGTGAGCTTGTGCAGATTTAACACAGGAATAAATTTTTAAAAATAACAGTAGCCCCTTTCGAGTACTTGAACGCTTCCTGCAGGGCAGGGAAGAGCAGACTGATGTACTTTGTTTTCCACCGAGGGCCGCCAACAGGAGGCAGGGGCGAAACGGTGCCACAGGAAGGCTTGCCTTTGAGTCGCTTTGGAGAGCTTGTGCGGCCCAGGAATAAATTTTGCAAACAGCCCAAGACCGGACGCTCCACTCTCATTTCCTCCTGAGGATGCTTTCTTGATTTAAGGGGGGGAAGTGAGGATTCGGTTACAATTTTGGGATGGGAGGATCTTTCCTGATCTACAGTGCGTCTCCCAGTTTATCTTCCCACCACATCCTGGGATCCAGTGAAGGGCTTGCTATAGGTCGAGCTCACATGCAAACTCTGTGGCCACAGCAAAGGAATTTGTTTGGGCTCCATGGGCAACGGGATGACAACTAGCTTCCCCCCAACTTGGCAGAAAGATGGTTGGACTACTTCTCCCATCGTCCCGAGCCAGCTGCGGCCGATGGGAGCTGCAGCTCAAACGCCCCACGTGAGCCACGGTTTGAGGGAAGGCTGGAAAACTCAGACCTTTCCTCCCATCTCGGGCCGGTTTAGGATGATGGGAGTTGTAATTCAGACGCTGTCGAATCGGGAGAAGGCTAGAAGGAATAGATGGAGGGAAATCCAGCCTCCACCGCAGGACGGCTGGGAATGATGGAAGCGACAGCCCAGACACCTCGGGGTTGGGGGAAACCAGGATGCTTGGACCCCCCGGCTTAGGCGGTCTGGGGATGATGGGCGTTGTAGTCCGGGGTGGACGGTCACGGGTTAGGGGCGGGGGTGGAGAATGCTGGCCCGAGCCCGTGGGGAAAACGCCAAGCCGTCCCGTGCCCTGCTCACCTGGCACCTGCAGACGAGGTCGGCGTCGAGGCTGAGCAGGTCGACCACCTTGCCCTTGCCCTCGTCCCCCCACTGCGCCCCCAGCACCACCGTCACGCGGTTGCCGGGGGGCCCCGCGGAGGAGGCGGGGGCCGCCCCGAGGCGGGGGCGCTTCTCCTCCGGCCCGCCCTCGTCGCCCCCATTCAGCAAGCCTGCCGCCGCCGCCGCCGCCGCGCTCTCTGCCCCCGCCATGTGCAGCCGCGGCTGAGCAGGCGGCCAGCCCTAACATGGCGGCGCCCAGGCGAGCCTCGGCGCCAGCACCCAAGATGGCGCCCGAGCGCGCCCCGCCCCGCCCCCGGGGAGCAAGAGGACTCAGAGCTAGGAAAGGTTAGAGGAGGGCAACCGCTCCCAATCATGGCCTGTCCGATGCGCCGCACCCTTGGGCGTGCGAGCTGGGGATGATGGACTGGGCAGGGGTGCGGCGCGGAAACACCTGGCTCCTCTAGTGTTGCACTGCAGCTTCCACCAACCCTGCCCATTGGCCACGAGCCGTGGGCAGCTGTGGGAAGAAGGTCCATTGAAGTCAATGTGGATTGCTTCTGAGTAACACCTCTAAACACCCTCTCTGCTCGATTTAAGGGTGGGAGGCTTGGAGTGAGTGGTTTGCCTAAGGCAACCCAGAATGTCCAGGGCAGAGGGGAAACTTGAACGCAGGACTCGAATTTGAAACTGTCTTCTTAGACACTCCAGCAGGGATAGATAAAATGTAGACAGAAGCCCCTGCAAGCCAGTGGCCAGGAACACAACACAGCTGCACTTACAGGACCGGTCTTGGTGCCCTCGGGATGGGTCAAGACCACAACTCCAGTTCCCATCACCAAGCTGTGGTTCAACACACCTGAGGGGCACCAAGTTGGGAAAGCAACATTGGATCACCCCTGGATAAGTGGCACCAAATTCAGAAAAGTAGAACTTACTCTCCTGTGGATAGAAAGCAATAAAGAACCGGATTGTGTGTGAATTAAGTTGCCCTATTTAATTTCTTTTCCTCTAGAAATTCCTGGGTCATCCTTCACCCACAAGAACGGGATTCCTAGGCAGTGCAGAAAGGTAGTTTTCTTGGCAATGGCAATTGTTCCTCGAGTACATTTTTAAAATACTGTTGCAATTCAATGTTTAAAAGCGTTTTAGTACCCCGAATCCTAGCTGCTTGGCATCTTTTGAATGGAAAGGCAGGATATATTTATTTGCTGGAATAAATATTCTAGGTTGGGGAAGGGAGCAAGAAGTGCTTAAGAAAGTTATCTTACAAAATTCCTTCAATGCAGATTAAAGGGTAGCGTTACGGGACTTCTTTGCATTTCTCAAAGATGCAATGAGGAAACACTGAAAACCTGGATTGTAGCAAACCTCATACACACTTTGCTGGAAATAAGGCCCACTCAAGGCCTACGCAAGGGCCCCCTTGCATCTCTCCCAGCAGCCCCGAGAGTCCAATGATGCACCCCAGCATCACGGCAACCTGTTCCACTTCCTCAGTGACATGACACGGGAAGACAAACCCTGGCAGTGCATTAGAAATGCCCCATCAACAGCCTCTAACACTAATACTTAGTGAACACTAAAACTGCTTCTCAGGGTGGCTGTGGCCACTTTCCGGTTCTACGGGAGTCTCTCAAACCAATGAAAAGCCATCGACAATTGAAAAGCTGCCCCTAATCAAGCGGATGCTTTAAAAAAAGAAAAAATTGAGCATTAGTAGCAGAAACCCAGCGAAGTACCACCATATTAGAAAGCAACCTGCCCTCTGCCCTAAACTTCCAGGGCACATGTGCTTCCTCTAGAAACCTAAAGCGGATCTTTTGCATCCCAACCTGATTTGATCCATGGGGAGAGGGTGTTTGGAAGACTCCCTAAGTGGTGGCTGGGGGCATTGAGACTGGGAAGGCAGGAACACCCGGGTTTAAATACTTACTAGGGGGTTTTCACCAGCAAATCTTAAGATCACCAGCAAATCACTGGCTAGTGTGAGGTGGCAGTATTACGAAGCACTTCAGAGTAAGAGTGTGATCTTGATTTGCTGGGAACACGGAGGCAACCTTCTGGTGGGAGCAAGATTAGCAAAGTAAACGAATAGGTTGTCCTGGGGGGCAGAAATGCAGTTCTATACACGGCGAACTCATTTTTATTGTCATGCTAAGTCATTCTATCTTATTTTACTGCATTCTACCTTATCTTATCGCATTATGTTGGTTGTACTTTTTCTGTTTATTGTTTGTTCGATTATGTTGTAAGCCATCCTGAGATGCTGTTGAGGATGGGGCAGAAATGTTGTAAATAAATAAAAAATAAATAAATTTTTGCCCGGGCCATTGAACAGAGGGATGATTCTCTCTTTTAGTTATCACAGAAAACGGCTGGGGATAAAGCTTTTCTCTAAACCTGAAGGTTACCTGTTTTAGGACAAATTACTTTTCCCAAGTAATACATTGATGAGAAATGCAAGCATGATGCAGAAGCCCCTGTACCCTGTGAGCTTTCATGCCCCACAACGGTTCTCCTGCAGACACCCAAAGTCCCCTCAACAAAAAGGCCACACTAAACCACTCGATATATCGAGAGAACTGGGCGATAAGAGGGTCCCATTTTTAACTGCATTCTCACTGGGGGTTGCAAAAGGACGTGCCCCCATTGCACCCGCAGCCGAGTCGTTTGTGGAAGAGGGGAATGGCGGGGGGGGGAAGCTCCCTCGTGAATGAAAAGGAAGAACCCCAGTTCGCTTTGGTCATTTGACTCCCTTTTTATTGGTAGGGGGGAGAACAGACGAGCCGAACGCGTTCAGACAACATCTAAGAAGTTAGCGCAGCAACAGAAGGATGGAGGAGTCAAGCGAATGGTTATTTATTCTAAAAATGGAAGTTTTTCAACCTACAGATGCCAGAATTGTTAAGGAAAGAAAGTTACAGATGTAAACAACCACACAGTTACATGTTCAATGGCAATCCCCTTTTACTGGCCACTTAAACGTTTTACAGTTTGTAAAAACATTTACAGCCTCCGTTTCACTTGAGCTTCTCATCTATAGCAACTAAGACAATCATGAAAAACACTAACAGATTTTAAACAGGCTGTTTTTTTTTGTAAGTTTTTACCATTTAATTTTTTTCCTTTTTTTCCTTTTTTTGTTTTTTACAAAAATGTGCAGAAAAAAGAAGACATCTACTAAAGTTGCTAAGATCTCTCTTGGTCTGACGGTCTTAAGTTTGCGGCAGTTTACCCCCCCCCCCCCGAAAGATAGCTTTTTTCTTGTTTAGCTCCTAATCGAAAAGGACTGTAGCTTCAAAAGCTATTCCGTTTAACAGCAGTGGCAACTTCTTGAAGGTATCAAAACTAATCGAGCCCCAAGCACCTGTCCCACCTCATCCTGTGATCCCAAGAAGCGTGTTTGCTTTCGTCAAGGTGCTGGGATACCCCAGACCAGCGTTTCATAGTTTCACGCAAACGCGCTTCCGTGTAAAATCCGGCTACTGAAGTTATTTGCACACGAGTTCTCTCTCTCTCTCTCTCTCTCGTTCTCTCACGCACACCCTTCTCCCCCAGAAGAATATTTTTCTAGTGGCCTGAAGTGTTTAAAATACCAGTTAATTTTGTTATAAAAACAGTTGTCACACAATCACACATTCTGAATACACACATGCATGGAGATAGAAGAATCCTGCTTTGCAATAACTCCTATGTTCTGACAAAAGGGCCAGAGGCTGGAAGAGGGCGGCTGCCCTCCGCCCCGGCTCCCCACCCCACATCAGTCCCCTGACCCCACATCCTCTGGCGCTGGCAGGCCCCCATTCCTCTGTCGGGCTGGGATGCGGGAATGAACGCTCTCCACGGGGATGGAGCGACAGCCACTTGCAAAGCCTGGCGAGGTTTTTGAAACGAGCATCTGTTCTTTAAAAAAAAAACACCCCAACATTTAAAAAAGAAAGAAAAGTAAAAAGTTTGAATTTCAAACAGTGAATCACAAGGAACAGAGGCAAATCTTTAACCCCTGTGGTTGGGAGTCAAACATAATTAGGCCCAGGTGGAGGTGGGGGGGGGGACACCTTGCTTTTGGGAAGTCCTCTCCCCCCCCCTTTCACTCTGTGGAGAGAAGCAAGTGAGGAAGCCAAATTCACCCCGTGCAGACGAATCACAGCAGGGAGCAGGACCCCTCGCCTACCAGTCCTGCACTCCAGAAGGACCCCAGCTGCCGAACCTGCTTGTACATGAAAGGTGAGGGCTGCTTCTGTTTGCGGAAGACGCCAAATGCCGAGGAAGACTCTTCAGGGCCAGAAGAGGGGGACAAACCAAAGCAGGGGGTGGTGGAGGAAGAGAGCATTCCCACCAAAGGCTGCAAGATGTACACCCATTTTCCTGAAAAATCAAACTTACCAAAAGGAGAGATCCAAAGGCAACTTTTTTTTCCCCCGAGGGGCACACACACCACTCCCCCACCCCCCAAAACACAGATCCTCTCTTCCCCCACTTCCTATATACAGAGGCTCACCAGTTTATCAAAACCACAACCAGCATGGAATCCTTTTTGCCCCTTCTGCCCCGACTGTATAAAACTTTGTTCTCAGCACTAGGGCTCCTCAAAAAAGGTGGAAGTTACACGCTAGCACAGGTTTCGCCTATATACAAGTTAGGTGCTAACAACGAGAAGATCCTGCAGAAAACCCTGAGAAAAATGTTCCTTCCACTCTGCTAAAAAAAGAGAGACAGACAGAAAGAAAGAAAGGAAAGGGGAAAAGAAAGGAAGAATGGAAATAAAGAGGACAGATACTATACAGAGATGATGAGCGGGCCAGCTAAGTCTTGGGAGGAAAGGAAGAGAATCCAGCGTGGGTTACCCAAGGCAGCTTGCTTTGGCCACAAAGGAAGAGAAATGTGGCAACTTTGCAAATCGTGTTTCGTTCTGTTCGACGGTTCGCAACTATGCCTTTAAGATGATGAGATGCTTGGAAAAAAAAGGGGCGCAGCTCAAGAGAAGCCTCTGGCCTGGGCTGTGCAACAGGCCTCCCAGCAATTCACTGTCTGAAAACATCGGCCAAACTCTGGAAGCGAGGTGAGGAGGAGCACCACGACCTCTCTCGGTGGCTCCAGGACAGGAAATATTTCCGTGCTCGTAAGAAGTCACGCCACTGCCCCCTGCCCAGGAAAAAAACAGAGTGGCAAACAAGAACCCTACGTAGGTTTTGTTTTGCGTAAGTTGGGAGAAGCCAGAAGTTGTCTATCCCCGCACCCCATGGCCATCAGTTCCCTGCATCTCCCCAGCCTGCTACCGAGTCCCATCAGCCTGCAAGCCCCTCACCTCCCTCCTCCCCAGCTGCCAGTCCAGCTGCTCTATGATGTCACGTTTTCCTGTCCAATCACAGGCAGCGCTAAGTGCTGCTCTCTTTGCGCAAACATTTTGATTACAAATGTCTAAACTAGGGTTGAAATGGTTTTTTTGTGTTTTTTTTATAGAAGACAATATTCTTTTCAACAAACTTTAAAAAAAATTTACAATTTCTTTTTTTTTTTTTTAAACCTCCCCACCCCTTCCGCCAACCCTGCTGCCGACTCTCCCCAACAGCCCAGTTTCCATCGCTTGCATGTCGTGGGAAGTGGCAGAGATGCCCCCTCCACTGAGCCTCACGGCTTCGCTGAAGGGTGGAGACGGCAGGGCTTTCACCGGTACCCTTGGTAGCCGTAGTAGTTCCTGTAATATCGGTCTCTGTCTTGGTAGTAGTTCTGCCACTGCAAAGGAAAAGCAAAGCCGTCACTGGGGCAAGGCCAGGTCCCCTCTCAGAACGGACACCCTGGTTCTCCTGCCTGGATAAGCAAGCGGCTCTTTGCTCTCGGATTTCTCTGTTGACTCCCAGCCATGGTTTGCTGCCCTACTTAAGGTTTCTCTGGCAAGGATCCCACACATTATGGCTTGTCTGCTCAGTCCCTGAGTTGTTTCACTCCTCCATCGCCTGCTCCTTCCCGGTATACCAAATTCTTTTGCCTGACTGGCACACAGAGCTTTGATACTGCTCTGGCCTGCTGCCTCAGCAGCTTGGGGAAATCCTCCAAGAATCGCCTGGTGGGTGCACTGTCCACACACCGGGCAGATGTCACAGCCTGAAAATCAACGGTGGGTCCTCTTCCTGGGTTGTGATTAACAAGCCACAGTCTCTTAACCTGCCTGGACTCAACACATCACAACAAACCAAAGTTCTGCACCTCATGGGTTAAATAAACCCTGTTTTCACTGGAGGTATGATATAGAAAGGAAGAGGCCTGGTTTACACGGCGCAGCACAGCTCTTTGTGGATTATTTAACCCGCAATGAGCTGCAGGTCCTTCGGGTGCCAGTTGGTGCATTTAGCTCCTGTTGGGGTTGTTATGTCATGAGAACAGTGCAGTGGGGGCATGTAAAAAATTAACAGCGCTTACATGTCCCACAGCCGGTTCAAAAGAACCCACCATGGGTTGTTTTATCACAGGAACTGGCCCGGTAGATCCCAGTTAATCTTACTTCAGAATAGCAGAGGCTGCGTGGCTTGGACGACACCACAGGCCACGATGCGGCAGAGGTGGACTTGATCCAGGCCTCCCAGACTTTCCACACAGCCAGTCCCCGTACTTCTCCTTCCACAAAGCCCTCCTCTTTGTCCTAGCCTACCAAAGCTTTTCTTCACACAATGACCTTACAGCCGGCAAGGAATGGCACAGCTAAGCACGAGCCCCTCTGCTGAAATGGTGGCTTGTTGCATCCTACCTCTCGATTGTAGTCCCTGTAGTAGTCTCTGTATCTGTTGTACTCGTAATCACGTCCGTAGAACCGGTTGTAGTCCCCCCTGTATCTGTCGTAGAAGTTGCGGTAACCCTGCAAACGACAGCAGCCCGTTTTGCTCCGCCGTGCGTGCGCAGCCCGTGCCCCTGCGCAGCCTTAGGGCAGAACCAGCCGGCGGCCGAGCCCTTTCAGGGAAGACGGCCTGCTTTTCGGATGCCCTCGAGGCAAACTGCCTGTTCCTGTCACAGGAACGAGCCATTTCACCCGGAGGCGGCCCAGAAAGAGAACGCGGTGAAATTTTACACGGGGGGAGGGCGGGCTTCCGCTGCCGCCTCTGCCCGCCCGCCCGCGTGCCAACCTCCCAGGCATCGGGGCCGGGGAAGGGGGGGCCCGGGGCATACTCACGCCTCTGTTCCCAGGCTGCCCCCAGTACTGCTGCTGCTGCTGCTGCTGCTGCCCATAGGCCCGGTGGTTGTAGCCGCCTCGGCGCTGGCCGCCAACTGAAGGGAGCACAAGATGGAGGGGAGGGGAGGGGTCAGGGGGCTCCGCGCGAGCGCGGCCCGCCGGCCTGGCCTCTCCGTGCGTGGCGAGGTGGCGGGCCTCCAGACTGCACTGAGGACACCAGGGAATAGGAGTTGTGCGGAGTGGGAGTGGGAGTGGGGAGAGAGAAGCTGCCCTGCGTTCACCCGGGGCCAGAATGCCGGAACACCGGCCACTGGCAAGCGCGTCCGACTCGGCTCAGGGTCCCCACACGGCATCCTGCTGGCCAGCTGAGCTGCACACCCTTCCTAAAATCCACGGGGCGGGGGGGGAGACTCCCTCGGAGAAGCGGCAGCTTCTGGAGACTGCTGGCGCCCAAAGCATCCCGCTAGGCCGAACGCCTGCCCACCCCACACGACTCCTCCCAGTCCTGGCCCCCTGCGCTCCCCCTGCCCCCGCCGCCACCCCCCCCCAGAGAACATTGTGCTACTCACACAGCAGCCCAGGGGGGTGCTGCATACTGGGTTGCCTGGGCTGAGCTGCCAAAGAGAAGGGAAAAAAGGCTCTCAGTGAGAGTGGCGACTTCCGCCCTTCTGCCCAAGGGCTGCGAGGACGGACGGGCGGCCTTCCTTGCTGGGGAAGCGGCGCGTCCCAGGGCAGCCTTCCCTAACCCGGTGCTCTCCGGAGGCAACGGACCTGGGGAGCAGCGGACTGCAAAGGCTGTCCTGGGGCTCGAGCGGAAGCCACGGAGAGGATCTGAGCGGCAAGGCAGGGGCCGTAGCCATGGGGGTGCAGGAGGAAGGCTGAGCCACGGCAGGGCTGCGCAAGCCATGGCATACACTGGATCGGGCGCTGCGCTGCAGCCGGAGGCGGAGGCAGAAGGCGGCGCGGGGCAGGGCCGCAAAGGGCAGCAAAAGCAGGCGCGTGCCAGGTTACATTATTTGCGATCCAGCGCAGGGGGAGGGGTCCCAAAGGTGTCTGCGTATGCAGCCCTTCTTGTAGCTAACGTTTTTCTCCTTCGGTTATTTGAGCAATGCCAACCCCCTTGGAATTAAGGCAAGGAGGATGAAAAGGCACAGCCTGAAAAAGCGGAGGCCTAAGCTGCAGGTCCGGAAGGATGAGGAAATAAGGCTCATCCGCGGTGGGGGGAGGACTCCAAAACAGGGCTGAAACTCACAATGCCAAAATGGAGCATGGGCAAATTCTGGAGATGGTTTGCTTGGGAGATGCCCCTGGGGTTATACCACCGCGCCTGGCAAGGTAGGCCCTGCTGGGAAGGCTGGAGAGGAGCTTCCAAGCCCAGCCTGGGCTGTTGATTTAAAGACAACGAGACATGTTGGGAGCATGTGACTTCCGGGGTCAAATGAGTGCACACGCAAGCAGAAGCCACTGGACTGGCTCTTTCAAAGTGCAGAAACTGCCACGGCTCCGGGTTTGCAAAGCGGGCGGACGCTTCCGGAAAAAGGTTAAACCCCCAGGAAGACAAGAGCGGGGAGCCACCCGGGCGAAGGGGAGCACGTGCTGCTCTGGCCTCACCATATCCCTGGCCGCGGTTGCGGTTCTGGCGGTTGCGCTTGTTGCGGTTGTTGCGCCGGTTCGTCCGCTTCTCCGAGGGCGGGAGCAGCTTCCTGGCCTCCTCCTTGTATTTGGTGACGAGGGTCTGCGCCTCCTCTTTGGCAAGTGCTTCATACAGGACTTCGTCGATGAAGTCGTACTTATCCGGAAGCGAGAAGTTGGCTGCAATCGGATGGGCACAGAAGGAGGGAGGGCCTGAATGCCACATCGGCTTCAGGGTTGCCCCGCAAAGCACTGGGGGTGCCAAGCCAGGGCGCGCCTCGCATTCCTCCTGCACCTGGTGGAGCCTACCTTTCATCTCCAGGATCACCGACTCAGGCACTTTGTCCCCTTCTGCCTCCTCCCTTTGCTCCAGCCTCTCTTTCCAGTTCTCCTCACTTGGAACCACCACAATCACCTTACGGATGAATCCTTTGAAGGGGAGCAGCTTCCGCCGTTGGCCGGAATTGTACACATTACACTGGAAGGAAGGAAGGAAGGAAGGAAGGAAGGAAGGAAGGAAGGAAGGACGGAAGGAAGGACGGAAGTAGATGGAGCTTCAAAAAAGTAATCACAACCACCTGCACTTAGAGGCCGTGACTGGCCCAAAGACACCCACTGCCTGCCATCGCCAAGCGGGAGAGGCTGGAGGCTCCGCACCCTGACCTCCCCGTCACACGGGCTCTCACCTGCTCCGTGACACCCAGAAGCCCAGAAGTTTCACTAACTACAGTGACACCCAAGGAAAAGGTGTTCAGTCAGTCCGTGCTGAGTGAGCGAACGGATGAAGGCATGCTCAGAGGCAGTCTGTTTCTGCAGCAGCAGGCTGCTGATCTCGATACGTCACAGGCCTGTCCCAGCAGGGATCCTTTTACATTCGTCTCGTTGAAGTACTTTGGACTACATCCAACATAACCTGAGCAGACTTCTGCTCATGTAACAGAAGCTTCCCTTCCCCTCCTTTCCCTGGGGAGCTTCTGATCCACCTGAGGTGCCCCCTCTGCTTGTGGAAAGACACTGCTGGAGACAGTCCCGAGAAGTGCTCACTAGGAACTCACCGGCAGAGTTTACTTGGAGCCAACCCTTTCCCGTTTCTCCCCAGGTACCACCTATCCTCCACAAATTTGCCTAATCCTCCTAAAAAATGATCTAAGTTACCCCCATCACCAAATGCCGCAACAGGACCCTCATTATGCATCTGGCTAGAATTAAACAGTGGTGTGTTGTCTGCCGCCAGTTAATTTTGTTTTGGTTACCCCCAGCCACTGACATAATGAAACATTAATTCCGCTTTCCAAAGTTACAAGTCTCTGGAGCTCCCCTGCAAACCTCATCAGTCTTAAAAGTACCAGCCGTTTGCCCTGTTCAGCATTCCCTTTTTAAAATCCAGAAAGGCAAAGAGGAAGGACCAGATCTTTCCTAGTCCAGTCCAGAGTGCAGGACACAGAATGACGGACTTAAGTTAAACGAAACCAGATTGACACTAGTCACCGGGAAGAATTTCCCCGCTGTCAGCGCAGCACAATAGAACCTGGAGAAGTTGTGGGCTCCCCCCTCGCTGGAGACATGAAAAAAGTGTCTGGAGGGTCACCTGGATGGATGGTGTGAATGAGTGTCCTGCAGCAGCAAAGGCTGGGACCCGATGGCTTTCTGGCCCCTTCCAGCTCTATGACTCTATGGTCAGACCCTGCCTGAGGCACATCACGCAACACAGACAGGACATGCTAAAGCTTAGTAACAGAGAGTCATCCTCATCGGACGCTGGGAAATCCCACCTCACTCAAGCCCTGCAGAGACTGTGAACATTCCCCCCTGCCCCTTCCTGTGCAAGGAGCCCCCGTTAAGTGAAAATACCTGATCAAGAATAAAGTTTCGCTTTGTTCGGGGGGCAATCCGGACCAGCTTGCTGACACAGCGGGCAGCTTGCTGAAGCAGCAGGTCTCGAGCTGCAGTGTCCAGGGCTTCTTCGGGAAGGGGGCCCTTTGTCTGAAGGGGGGGGGAAGAGGGAGGAATGGGAACACAAGGAGTAAACAAGGAGCTGTTTTCAAGGACACTCTCCACATGCTGCAGCCGGTCAGGGCAGAGCCGTTAGACACGGATGACAAAGCTGTTATCCTGGCCCAACCTGTCCTCCAGCCATGCTGCTCTAGAGATACTGGCGGGCCTTGCGCCAAGGATGCCTTTTCCCACGTGACCTCGGAACTCCACCAGCGTCTGCACAGCAGAGATAAAGCGTTCCCTTGCTGTCGCCTGCATGTCAGCCTCTGCTGGAAGGAAGCAGCTTTCACCCACTGATCGCCTCCACCTGCTTGCAGCTCCCATTCACCCTTCTGAAGGGTAAACAAGCTGGAATGGGTCATGGGATAGGCACACCCCTGCCCTGGATGATGGTCTGTTCCGTTTCACAGGCTGTGCAGAAAAGCAGAGCCTCAGCAACGCTTCCAGGCCCGTGTTTCAACACACTGGCATTGATCTGAGAGCCCCGTGACAGCTGTGTGGAGCTAGAGGGCCCTCCAGACACTGTTGGACTCCAGCTACCATTAGCCCCAGCCAGCACACCCCATGGCCAGAGATGACGGGAACCGCGGACCGGTGACTTCTGAATGGCCACTTTCCCAAGCAGCGGACGACCCGCTTCTCCTCTTTGAGCGCCACGCTGGTTTTATTATGCTGGTTTTAATTTTCAGTTTGCTTTCCCATGAGCTACATAGTAAAGTATCTGGTGGAAAGGCTGGCTGTAAATGCTGTTCAAAAAGGCAGCACAGAACGATAAGCTTCTTAGGGTTACATTTATCAAAAGGCCTGAGGACTTGCTGTTACCAAGGGCACAGGCACACTGGTTTGCCCCAGAGCGTTCTGAATGCCCTCAGGTGGGGCAAACATCAAGAGCAAGCAGAGACAGAGGGGTGTGTTTGCATAGCACAGCAATGCAGCATGGGAAGCCAGCCACAGGGAGCTGCCATGTCATCTGAAAGTCCTTCCCCACAGGGCAACTTATTTTCCAGGAAGGAGTCATGGAGTGAACCTGTGGCTTGCTGTAGGGTTGTCCTTGCCCATGAGTTGTCATGCTGTCTGAACTCAGGAGACCGACTTTAGCCTGGGTTGCCGCCACTGGCCATAGAGCCACTCAGCAGAAGCACCTGCATTGCTTGCTTTTGGCTACAGCGCCACTTATCGCCATTCCACTGAAGCAGAAATGGCACTCTGGAAGGACCGGCACGTCCTCCTGGGCTTTTTAAGTCTTATTTTGGAAGCCTCAAAAATGTGGCTGTAACGGTTTGTTGCTATTTTGTGTCTACCGTTTGGAAACACAGTTCTATAAGCTCTCCAAAGCACAGTCTTGCCTGGGCAATTGCCTTCCCTGTTTCCGCTGTCAAAGGGAGCAGCAACATGGAGTAAGTTACTCACACGGAATCGGCTATTCTCACAGTTATCAAGGGCCAGGGAAAAAAGCCTAAGAGAATGGAGTAACTGGCCTTGGGTGACATTAGTTAATTGAAAACTGAGGCTTCCAGTATGCTGGACATGTCAATCATCTTTGGATAAGGGCTTAATTAGACTGCACCTTCACAAATTGGCCAGTGTAGCTAATGCGTCTCGTTTGTATGTTCTGATCGTGCCCGGTGGCTGCTTCCTTTTGAGAAACAGTAACAATTCAGATAAATTTTGCAGTGCAGAGTTCTGCAATATTCAGTGCTACACATTTTGTTCTTAAGCACCAATCTGTCTCTTGGAATTAAAGCAAATGGTTCCCCTGCACCCGTTTGATGGCTAAAAGACTAGAACTGTAATGCTGGAAACTATAAGTCTAGCTAGAAGGACTTAATGGAACTTTCCATTTTTGAACAGGTGGCTGTGAATAAAAATGTATGAATAAGCAAATGTATGGCTGCTGGTCTACCTCTGTTGATATTTAGGTATAATTAACAATGGTATGTTGTGCCACATACAGAATATATAAGGATATATAGATATGTGCATTTAGTGTCATGTATTTCTTTAAATTTTATCTTAAACATAGATCTAAAACAACAGGAAGCAAAAGAGGATTGAAACAGGACAAGGAGGTGGCTGGGATGAAGAGACAAGATTGATTCTGCCAGAAAACCTCTTGGGATGCACATCAAAGGCAGCTGCGGGGCTGAGGAGGGAGGAGGGAAGAACAGTCCATAGCAAGTCTGTTCCTCTGTGAAGAGCCAACCCACCACAGCTTAATCGTAGGTTGGCCGAGCCCACCCTGCAAACCGGCCCCTTCTCTCTGCAGGAGTGCAACCTACGCTGCTCCTTTGAAAGTAACTTCTGGCTCTGTACCTTCATTTGGAAGAGAATGGTGTCTGTCCCCAGAATGTTATAGCGCTTCTCTTGGTTCTCCTGGGTGTGCTTCTGAGCCCAGTGGGTTTTTCCACATCCTGGCAGTCCTACCATGAGCAGCACCTGGATGAGGCAGGGGACAAAGAGATCAAGCCCAGAAAGATTAGAAAGGTGATCCAAGCAGGCATGTCCCAGGAAATGGCCGTGGCCAAAGCGCCATTAAGATCATGGCAACGCTCTGGACTGCCTCCTACTGCGAGGTGCGGGCGGCTTCTAGCCCAGGGATGGGGTTTTAGAGTCTCTCAGAATCTAGTGCCACTTGGAAGATGTGGCTGTGGCCCCGGAAGGCGAGTGATTCTGCTGGGAAACGAGGCACGCAGGAGCGTCCACCTTCTTCCCCAGGAGAAGCTGTGCACTGTGGCAATGGGGGGGGGCGGGAGAGACGCACGGACGGTTGTGTGGGGGCACACGATGCCTCCCCCTGCTCTAGAAAGAGAAACACAAAAGGCACGGACGATTCTGACCACTGCAGAATGGCTTCCTTTTATTAGTCCACTGGGATAAGGATGCAAAGCTGCAGAGGAGAATCGTTCTCCGCAGGAAACGGGGAGGGTCCTGTTGCTCCTAAATGCAACAGGCACACAGAACCGGGGGGTCCTGCCAAACTTTCCACCCACACATTCCCTTCCTGCTGAACCCGCAGGATGGTATTAACTCCAGCAAAGAGGAGGGGGGCTCTCTCTGTAGTACGACTCCAGTAGGGGGTGAAGGCATGGTGGAGCAGCAGCCTCTTGTCCCAAGGCACAGAGGCTGAAGGGGGGTGGCAGCATCCAGCCCCCATCCTCCCAGCATGAATAAGGGAGCTAATTCAGCTTCAACAGAGATAAAAAGACAGACTGCGTAACCTGGTGGCCAAGGGTGGAGGCTGCAAGGTGCAGAGTCAAGCAGCAGCACGGGGCCCGGCCTGAAGAGGGCCCCAGCCTGAGCCACAGCCCGACAGCGACCGGGGCAGAGGGGCTTGTGTTACCTCACACTCTCCAGGAGTTTTTGGTGGCAGCGGAGTGCGCACTCGATCCTCGACCGGGACGGCGTGGATGAAGACGTAGTCCTCAGGGACTGGGAAGAAAGGCTCCTCCTTCTGGCCAAAGTTGACCTCCACGACGCAGTTTTTGCACAGCACGTGGGGCAGCAAAGCTCTGTCGCCCAGCCCCTCCTTGCTGATCCGGAAGGCCACCCCCAGGTCCTCCCCGTTCTTGGAGAAGGACAGCTCCACCTCTTCGCTCTCGAAATTCTGCAACACAGAATGGGGGAGGGTGAGAAGGGGGGGGACTCCGTGGAGTGCGAGCACCTCCTGCATCCGTGCCAGCGTGTGCTTTCGGAGCCGTTCTCGAGCCGCCTCCTGAAGACCTAGCAGCAGAAGGCAAAGCTCGCTTTTCGCTGCCCTGGACTACAGCGCAGCTGGTTCTGGGGGCCTCGGTGCAAGCGCTGAGGAAAACCTCGGGGCGGCGCAGGCCGGCCTGCGTCAAGGCAAGGAGCAGGTGTGAGCCTGATGTTGCTATGGGTGAAACCGCGGCTGCACAGAACCTTATTTCCCCGTCCCCGGCCTCCTCCAGAGGCCCCTAAGAGCTGGCCCAAGGCCTCGCTCGCTGCACTTACAGCAAAGCAACCGATCACATCATTCTCCCCAAAGGGCTGAGCAAAGTCTTCGAATTGCCCATTTGCAGCCTTCAACCCTCGTCCATCGTAGCCATAAGAAAACTCATCCTCACCTAGAAGAGAGCAACACTTACTACGGCTGCGCCGCAGGCCCTGATCTCCCCTGGGGGGCATCATGCTGTGCTGGGCAGAAGGACGCCCTCCTTACCTAGCTGCAGCCGAGAGAGATCCACGGACCATCCGACACGAAGCAGCTGGGATTCCGTGCAGCCCTCCTTCAGCGGGAGGTTTTGTGCCACCTGAGACAGACAGACCAAGGGGGAACAACCCTTTGAGAACCCCACGGGAAGACGCGAAAACAGGCCTGGGACAGCTGCAAACCAGCCCAAGGCAACAGTAACGGGACAGTATAGAAAAGCTTTAAATAAGTAATATTGAAAAATTACAATGCACCGTTATACTCTGATCACAGCCTTCTATTGGGGCCTCCACAAACGCAAGCCACACCCCTGTAGTTAAGCAGGTCTGTTCCAACTCTCCCCATTCTACAATTACAGAAGTATAGTAATTATAGGAGTAATTCCCAGGACTTTTAAGTTATGCTGTGATTTGCCCATTGCTTTAGCTTGGTGGAGTTTATTTCTGGCTTACTTTGAATCAGTGTAGCACTGTAGATTTTTATTCTATTATCCGTTTGTTTTTTTTAAAGGGAGGCACTTGCCTCTATTGTTGTGTTCTCTTTTATTGCAATTGCATTGACTCCCTCTGCTTAGAGACTTGCTATTAGGGGCCAAAACCGTAACTTAAAATAAAAAAGGACAAAATTGCAACAGCTAAGTACATGAAGGTCCACGCCTCAGTTCCTTGTCAATCAGTCGCCTCTTCCAAATATGCTTCTACATCTTTTCCCAAGTGTGCTCTCAAGACACTATATTGTATTTTAGAACATTTCTGAAGAGGGGTTTTTGCAAAACATCTTTGATCGTTTCTAAACTATTATACAGACTCAAACAGCTGTGGGAAATCAGTGCAGGGTGCAGTGGACTGTTAATACCCATGTCTGACGACCAAAGAAATCAAAACAAGGCTTTCCCTTCTTTAGATAATGCCCAGGTGGACAATAAAGTCCATCTGGGAAGGAGGGCCAAGAGCGGCACTGTCCTACTCCCCAAGGAAGAGCAACTCCGCGCCACAGTCTGTGGGGACCAACAGAAGGCCTTCTAATCTTTCTGTCTCGGGTCATGCTTGCTGCCAAAGCTGTGGAGAAGCTCAGGAGGAGGATGTGTGTCTCCCTGCACAGACTTCCTCACCTTGGCCTCAAAGCAGACCTTCCCCTTTTTCACTCCATGCGTACTTCTTGCTCCAGACCACAGATTGGGGAATTTTTCGGAGAACAGAGGCTGTCCTCCGTAGCGGTCCTTGGTGGCTCGGAAATGGAGATCGGATGTATCTGTGCAAGAAACAGGAGCAGAGCGGTGTTTAAAGTCGGGGCTTGAGCTGCACCTGAAGTTGAAAAACTGTTGCAGCAGATAATGTGCATCAGCAGTGCCCACAAAGGGTTCGGAGATCTAAGCTGGCCTGAAGTGCGTATTAATTCTACATTCTGTCTCTCTTGTCCCTTTTGTCCCAAAACTTGTTGTAACTCCCAAGTCCAGCCAGAGATGAGGATGAAAATTACATCAACCGTATTCTGGGTGCTGGTGCTTCTCTTCTGCCAGAAAGCAACCAAGTAGTCTTAACCCTGATCAAAGCTGCTTTTTGGTTTAAAGCACTAGAGTGGCCCAAAGAAGCTATCTCTGCAAACCACTGGTTGGAGGACAGGAATGTTTACTTCCATTTATTTCCTCTGTTTTCATTCTGCTGCTCTTTCCTGGACTTGTTTTGCCGCCTGGGTTAGAGCAAGAACAAGCCTTCCAGCCACCCTCTTCGCACTTTAGCCACACTCGTGGAATCTTACAAAAAAAGAGTCTGAACATCCCTTCTTTGAGTACAGTTATGAAAAAACAAGGTACAGGTTTCTAGTTCTACATATTCCAGTATCTTTTCGCATCTATGGAAGACGTACCTTTGAGAACCAAACAGTTTGTGTTTGTCACCTTATCATATCTGCTGTAGCATTTGCTGCTTTAAGAACTTTTTAGAGGAGGAAGGATCAAGACCAGGCTAATGACATCTTCTTTGCCGCAGAGAAACTGACTTTTTCAAGGAGAGAGAAAACCTATGCTGACCTGATGAAATCCACCCGATGGACTGACCCACACTCTCTCACCTGACCCCTCAGAGCCTTAGACTTTTTTTTTTTACTTGTCAGATACAGTTCGAATACATACATGTGTCCAGGATCACAACGGTCTCCTCATCCTCTTCCCTGGGCTCCTCTTCCGGTGGCGGTGGAGACTTGGATCTGTTCCAAACAGAAAGGAATAATCCACATAACCACGCAAGAAAAAAGTCTTCCCAGTTTAGCGCAAAAAGGGCTCACCAGACAAGGCGACAGATACGCCGCAGCCCATGCACGGCTGCTGGCCAACTCCTGATGGATCACCAGGCATTTGCTGCATGCTTGAAAAGGTGGCGGGAGTAGATGGTCCGACTGTGTTATGAATGAAGCAGGACCACATGCTCAAAATCACTTCCCACAAGCTGCCCGTGGATTAGCGGCTCAAAGACCCGAGCACCCATATTTGGAAGTTTAACACCTCTCTGTGGATCACAGAGGATCCTCTCTTTTAAAAAGGTGTAGGATGCGCAAGACTGGCTAGCCCTCCCCTACTCTAAATCCCTATCCTTTAAATCCTCTGTTCAAGTCTCATTTCATGCTCAGCTGGCAACCCGGCTTGAATTTCCACCCAGAACAAACGGCATCTCACCGGCTACTGTACGCCTCCTCTCGGAACTCATAGTAAGCACGGCCATGCTCTTCCTTCTCGTCCCGTTGCCTTTTCAGCCCGTGGCGTTCACCATCTGGACCAGCCTGCTTGGCTTTCTCATCTTCCTCATTTGCTGCAAGAAAGGATACGCAGGCAAGCTTGGTTAAGAGCAATCAAAAACTAGCTCACGCAAACAGATGAGCCCCACTGGCCCTTCCCACCTTGGAATCAAAGACACATAAGGTGTTTATTATGGACTTCTGGAGCAGCCCAAATCCCTTGTGCCCAAGGCAAGGGAAACAGTCTATAAACAAGCCTTGCCTTGCCCTTTTAGTTCACATTTGCAAATGCGGAGTGGCTCCTGGAAGACTAGGTGGCACGCTTCATATTTAAAAATGTTTACGCATTACAAAGGCATTTCATACTGCAAATCAAACCTGGATATTGAAAGCAGAATTAGATATGACGATACTGTGCACACAGATAAGTTCTTTAAATGTTGTGCATCCATGAGTGATTTTCCATTTCTTCTAGGCTGGCCACCTTTCAGAAGGATCCATTTCCCAATTTTTTTCCCCATCAGGGTTCGACACATTCTGACATTTTAATGAGAAAGGTGTATGATAAATAGATATTTATAAGGTATGCTAATAAATTTGTAAAAGAACAGTAGCATTTGAGAAAGCTAAAGAGAAAAGATCTTTGACTTCAGAGAACCTTAATTCAGGGATGCAATTCAATGCACTTAAAAAAAAAAAACTTTCCATTTGCAACTGTGAGCTCTTTCACAGGTAACAGCAAAAGGCCTACAGGACACAAGAAACATCCATGCAGATCTGAAGTGCCAAACACAACTATTCCTACGTATCCATGGCCTACCAGGCTGTGACCTCCACTACATTCAACGGGCTCTACTCTCTAGCAAGCGAGCACAGGATGACAGGCTCGGACAGTTAAACAGCCTGGATTTCTCAAGAACGCCAGCGTGTGACAAACCAAACTTTCTGTTCAAGGCCGCTTGCGGGGTTTCGTCCAAACCACAGCAAACACTGTTTGAAGACCAGAAACGCCAGATGTTCAATTCAAAATGTCACCGGGCTTGGCAGGCAGGCAGGCAGGCAATACACAAATATCATTAGTAAGTGTTACGTGGATGAACCTGAAAAGCACCTTAGAAAATGCAGCAGGCTGTACTAGAAACATGCACGGTGTCTTTGGTACTGTCTGGGTACTAGCAGTATTGTAAACCAAAGAGGAAGAGTTCATTCAGGGGAAAACTATCTTAAAGTACCTGCCCGAGTTCTCTTACCCATGTAATCTGTGACTCATTAAATACCCATCTGAGAGGAAGACTTGGTGGGCCTACCCCTTCAGCTTCTGGTTCTTCAAAGCCCCAGACCAAATTACTGTGCCATACAAATTATTTTATACACGACTTCTGCTTAGAAACGGATGGAACATACTAACAAGAATAAGTTGTGAGCCAGCGGTTCCCAAGATCAAATCTCAATTCTGCTATTCTATCTGTGCGAGCTTAAGACAGGACATGATCGTGTCTGCCTCACAGGACCCCTGCCCCTAACAAACTGGGAATGCTGACCTCTCTGCAGATCCAAGCTCACCAGCACAAAGCTTCATTTCTTGAACACGTAATGCATGTGAACTATTAGAGATTTTTTTTGTGGCATGACACAGAAAAAGGGAGAACCTACCTAGGCATCTTCCTGCCTACCAACTGGGGAAACTGGAATCATTGTAACTATTCCAACATTATTACTGCATAATGCTTTACAAAGATTAACAAACAAATAGGGCTTCTGCTCAGAGAACTAACCGAAGCTTACAGTGCCTTCCCCAACCTGGTGCCCTCTTGATATTTTGGACTAAAATTGCAAGAAGCCTCAGCCAGAATGGGATGGTGGGAACAGCAGCCCAAAATACCTACCCACCAGAGTTGGGATAAGGCTGAATATCCAAGTGTGTCACATACATCGATCACATTTTTAGTTACCCCCTTCTCCAAACAGCTCACAGTAGCAAGCATGCCTGCATTCTTATTTCACAACAGCCCTTTGAGGTAGGCCACATTAGGAGAGCACGTGGCTCACGGTCGTACCCCAGAGACTTCATGGCCTAGTGGGGAGTCAACCCCAAAACACTCAGGTAAGAAGCCTGCTATTATACCCAGAGTGTGGGGAGGAGGAAAGAAAGGTGGGGCAAACACGTATAGTGGCTCTACCTGGCCTGGAGTCAACCTCTTATTTTGAGACGCAAGATCTGAACCTGAAACACCTTGGCTCAGAAAGTGGCCACCACAGTGATGATTCATGCAAAGCTATTGATGTCCCTAGTCCTTTACAGAGTAACACCTTTTAGACCATCTATTCTTGCTGACTGAGCTATTTATATGCAGCAAACAAAGTACCATGTGGCAGTCGGTACCTGGACTTGGCCATGCACACCGTGGGCTTCCTGCAAGAAGCCATTCCACTGTGCTTGCTCTAACCACAACTAGTTCCGGCTCCAGCCCTTATTTTGTGACACTTCTATGCGACGGTCAAATGTATTCAAAATACATGCTACATAATGGAACTATTCAAAACAACAGGAACTGGTGATAGCACAATCATTTGAGCAATATTCTACTGTTGTGAATTGCTGTTAGCCCACAATAAATCTTAACATTTCAGTAGGCTCACAAGGCAATTATTTTTTTTTCTCAACAGCCAATAACAAATGATTGGTCGGCTTGCAATAAATCTACCAGGTACCACAAGCCTATTTTTTTCTTTCTGCTGTTAGCAGGCCAGCAATCCAATTCTGTGCATATTTACATAAAAGAAAATCCCACTGCACCTATTAAGGGTTTCCATCTGGGTTAAGGGCACATGGGAATAGAACCCAACAGCCCAAATTCAGTGTAGTTTTAATCAGAAGCAAGTCCCATTCATTTCAAGGAAGCTCAGTTCCCACTTAATTGTACAGGTCCCCATAAGCCTGAGCAACTTAACCGATGTGGCCAGATTTGGACGTGAGCCCTCACCGAATCCAATGCGAATTAGTTCTGGACAAAAACCCATGGGACTGGGCTATGCCAAGGGCACCTTTCTGAATGGCTCATAGCATAATTGAGGAAAAAACAACAACATAGCAGTGGTACCAGTAAATTAACAGCATTATGACACATAATGGACTGAATCTGGACTTTTTTGCACTTAGAGCACACAACTAATCCCACCGATTTCAATTTCTACTCTTAAATACAACTCAGTCTGGATCCAATCCATGGTTTATCCCTATCATTGCACAGAGATGGTAAGAACGATCCCAAACAGATCATAACAATTTTTATACTAATCATATATGCAATCTCCAGCAAGACCCGTCACATCACCCCATGATGTACCAGAAAAAAAAAATCTTAAAAACTAACAACAGCCCCACACCCCATTATCAACATAAAGGATTGTTTGTCTCTAATAGGCTGCATTCAGCATGAGTTTAACTTAAGTCCCATTAACTGCAATAGGACTGCTCTACAAGGGGCTAACATGTGAAGCATCCCATAGTAAACAATGAACTAATAACGTGATCCAGGCAAAGATGCAATCCTTTGCAGGTTTAGGCAGAAAGAAACCCTATAAATTCCAGCATTCCCTTGCCTAAGATTGCATCGCAAGTAGGGCAACTTAAGCTGCACTGACTGCGATGCATCTCCGCTCCGAGGAAGTACCACGGGATACACCCCACAGGTAGCAACCGCAAACAAGGAGTAACGAGCCCGCTCCGAGCAGCCCAGCTTAAATCCCACTGATTGCAAGGGCTCCGCCCGACGAAGCGCGACCAGAAAATACGACCCGTGCGTGCCCATCATGCACAACGAGGTACCGGGAGCAGCCGGGCTCGCATCCCGCGGATTGCACACGACAAAGCAGGCCTAACACGGGCCCCGATCTACGGACAGCCGCAGCCCCGCCGCGGCCAACGGGGCGCCGCGAAGCAGCCCCGACCGCAAGCGGCCTCCCCGGAGCACACGGGATGCGCCCGGCGCGCGGCAGCACAAAGAGCCCCACGCGGCGCGGCGCGGCGCTCCCGAGGCGCCCCCGATCGCGCCCCCCCGGCGCCCGGGCGCCCCCGCCGGGAGAGCCGCCCGCCGCCCGAGAGCCGCCCGAGCGCGAGCGCGTCGCGAGGAGACGCGCAGCGAGATGCCGGGCATATCGACACGGAGGACGCGGCGGCCAGGATTAGCCACCGGCGACGGGCCCGGCGCTCCCGCAGCCTCCTCCCTCCGCCGAGGCGCCCCGGCGGCCCGCCTTACCCGGCTGCGCGCCTTCCTGCTGGGCCTCGGCGTCTCCCCCCGCCGCCGCCGCCGCCGCCGC